ATATGCTGTATACTCTTAAAGGGGAAATATTTAAAAATAGCAGTAATATCTGTTTATGGCTCAACTGAAGAAAAGGAAGACAAATTTTATGAGGAACTGGAAGAAGTTTATGACAGATTGTCTAGACACAGTATTAAAATATTCTTAGGGGATTTTAACGCTAAAATTGGCCAGGAGATTATGTATATACCAACGATATGTAAACACAGTTTTCATGAATATAGTAACGACAATGGAACACAATTAATTAACATGGCAATGTCAAAAGAGTTAGTGATCAGTAGTACTTATTTTCCCCATAATTCATAAGAATATACACAAGCACACATAAGTATCTCCAAATGGATTAACTAAAAACCAAATAGATCATGTTATGATTAGTAAAAAACATATGAGTTTTATAAATAATGTGAGAAGTAACAGAGGTGCAGATGCGGATACCGACCACTATTTGATATTAGCTCATTTCAGAGTAAATTTAATGTTGAAAAATTAAAAGACCAAGAAATAGCAAAACGGTATGAAAAACTAATACAGAAGGAGTTAGAAAAAAACAATGGGAAGAATTCGATAGAGGATATAAAAGACCAATCGAGCCGGACAAAACAAATCATAACAGAATGCGCCGCAGTGGTTATTGGAAATGCACCAAAACGAGAAGGAAACGATAGTTTAATAATAAGTGTCGAGAAGCAGTAATGAAAAGAATTGAACTTAGAAAGAAAATGTTACAAACTCTATCTGAAGAAAAATAAAATCATACATGAAAACTGGAGAAAAGGAGTCCAAAAAATATTAAGAGAAAAAAGAATTGATATGAAGACAAAAATAACAGAAATAGAAGAAATAGAAGAAAACAGAAAAAATTCCAAAAAATTCTTTAAAAACAGCAATCAAATTAAAGAAGGTTTCAAACCGCAAGTAAAAATGCTACAAAATGAGAAAGGAGAACTAGTCACGGATAAAAGAGAAATAGTAGAGTTGTTTAAAAAATATTTTGAAACACTATGAAACAGACAAGGTCAAGGTAGCGCAAACGAAGACATGACGTACCACACTGTAGAACCTGATATTAGAGAGCCTAAACAGGAAGAAGTAACAAGGATAATAGAAACACTTAGGAATAACGAATCACTGAGTGAAAACAAAATACCAGCAGAACTACTAAAAAAAGGTAGAATAGCCTTAATAAACACCTTGCATGGAATTATTAGTGAAGTATGGAAAAGTGAAACTATGCCAGAGGAGTGGAATACGGCAATATTATGCCCTATTTTTAAGAAGGGAGATCCAATGTTAGTGTCAAACTATAGGGGTATATTACTATTAGACACAGGATATAAAGTATTTACAACACTATTACTGAAACGAATAAGTCCATATGCAGATTTTGTGGGGGAATACTAGTGTGGGTATAGAAAGGGAAGGTCGACTGTCGATCATATACATACCATCAGACAACTAGCGGAGAAGCACTATGAATATAATAAGGATCTTCACCTGATGTTCATAGACTTTAAACAAGCCTATGATTCCATTAATAGAAAAGAGTTATGGAAGGTCTTAAGATGTTTTGGAATCCTTCAGAAATATATAGATTTGGTTAAGATGTGTAATAGTAAAACAAATTTTAAGGTGAGATATCAGCATGAATTGTCTGAAAAATTCGAAGTAAAATCCAGCCTTTGACAAGAGGACGCATTGTCACCGATGCTGTTCAACATTGCTCTTGAATGAGTAGTGAAAGCAGCTAACGAAACTCGAAAATGGAAGTAGGCGAAATAGAAACCATTCTTGCCTATGTGGATGATATGGTTGTCCTGGGGAATTCTAGAAACGAAAAAAAACTTTTGGAAGCAGGCAAAATCATGGGTCTAGAAGTTAACCAGGGAAAAACAAAATATATGTGTGTATCATGAAATGACAGAAATTATTTAAGTTTACAAGTGGATTCTTATGTTTTTGAAAAAGTAGAGGCGTTTAAATATTTAGAGATAAATTTAAACAACAAAAATAACGTATTAGAGGAAATAAAAGAACGAGTAGCTAGCACGAACAGATGTTATTACAGTTTATTGAAACTATTCAAATTGAAGTTATTATCGAGAGAATTGAAGGTAACGTTATACACAAGCTACTTGAGACCAGTATTGACATATGGATGTGAGACGTGGGCTACTCTAAATTAAGTACAACAGAAAGAAAAGTGCTCAGCAAAATATTTGGCCCAGTGTATAATATAGAAATGGGAATGTACGAAAGAAGACATAATATTGACTTGCAAAATTTATATGAAAAACCAAATGTACAATCGTATAGCAGAAGTAAACGGATAGAATGGGCTGGTCATGTGTGGTGGGCAGAGGCAAAAACTATAAAACGAGTTACAGAAGGAAGAATTGTGGGGAAAAGATCTTTAGTAGAGATGGAAAGTTTAGTTCATTTCTGTGAATAGTTCATTAGTTCATAGTTCAATCAAGTGAATAGTTCAAATGAACTATTCTTAAGTTCACTAATTTTGTTGATCATGCTGATATTGTTTGGCAATGAACTATTCATTTTATCACTATTAGTACAGCAGTACACACTTCAGTAGTAGTTCACACTACATAGGGCAATTAAGTTATAAACTAACCTTAACCTGAACATCATAAACTAAGAAAAAATTATTATCAATACCCTCAAGGCTCATGTTATCATTATCACCTAATTCAAGGTGGAAATATTGACCAGTAGTCCTAAGTTAAATCAGAAATCTGATCTAATATTTGTACATTGTATGAATTTATTTTATTGTTAAACTGTTAAAAACCGTGTAACATTTTAACAATATAATTTATTTGTTATCTAATTGTTAACAGCTATTAACCATTTACAAGATTTCGAACAACGAACCACAGAAAATTTTTAAAGAAGTTCGCGAACTATTTCATTTATACATTGCTACCAATTTTTTTCGAACTGTGAACTGTTAAGTTACAGGTACTGAAACAGTTCAGAATAGTTCATCTAAGTGAATAGTTCAAATGAACTATTCGTTCACGAACTTAACATCTCTAATCTTTAGGAAGACCTCGAACAAGGTGGAAGGATGTAGTAGAAAAAAATTTAAAAATATTCCATGAAAACGTAAAAATAGAGGATGCGAATGATAGGGACCGATGGAGTGAAATAGTGGGGGCAGCGATGGACCTACATGGTCCGTTAAGCTGTTAAGAAGAAGAAGAACATATTATGTTCTGTAGCTAGAGCTGTATAAACTTTAATTAAAATTGCATAATAGGAATTCAAAAATATTAATGAGATCTCAAATAACTGTTAGAAAATATTATGAGGGGATATTTAATACTCAATGAAAAAGTATATTTTAAACATATACTTAAAACTAACATTAGTTTACTATTATACTAAATTAAACATATATATATATATATATATATATATATATACATAAATTTCCAATTTTACAAACATTTTAAATTAAATGATTAATTTATTATTAATTTTTATCATTTAAATAAAACTATCTATGTTGAAGTTATTAAGTGAATCACAACATAAAAAAAAAATGTTATGAACCATTTACTATAAACAAAATTAAGGGCAGCATATACAATATACAACATCTTAATAAAAATAATGGTGATTATAAATTAAAAAAAACCCAGCACAGGGGGGTCGCGGCACAGTGGTGACGTGGTATAGATGGATCAAGTATAATGATATCTGACAGTGATTAAAATCACTATAAAAAAAAAAACGCTTTAATGCAAATCTTTAGATACTGTTTAATTTTAAAAAATTGGTGGATTATTCCTAAAGCTACATGATCTGCTATTTTTTTATTAATATCCTAATTAAGATAAAGTATGTAGAATGAAAAAGGGATTAAAAAATATTATTTCTCATAAAAAAATAATATTGATCCATACATCTTTCAAAAAGTTATAGCATTATAAAGTTAAAAATATAAAAATGAATTTTTTTACAAAAATCGTATTTTTTTTTATAAACATTGATGTCTGTTTTCACCATGAAGATAAAATAAAGTCCGAAATTTTTTTTTTGCATAATAAAGTATATTACATTAGCTTTAATTTAAGATATATATAAAAGTGTCAGACTTTCCGGAACACTTTCAAAATTTAAGTTGAAAAAGTTCTACTTTCTACATGCATTTTTTAGATTTGAACCCCCCTCGTATATAGGGAACTGGTCGGATTTAAAAAAACAGTATGTCAAATGAAAGATGTATATGAATACTACTCCTCATAAAAAAATTGTACTGATCCATACATTTTTCAAAAAGTTATAGCATAATAAAGTTAAAAATGTAAAATACAAAATCGAAAATTTTCACACAAAAATAGCATTCGGTAGCCATTTTCACCGTGAAGATAAAATAAAGTCCGAAATTTTTTTTTTGCATAATAAAGAATATTACATTAGCTTTAATTTAAGATATATATAAAAGTGTCAGACCTTCCGGAACATTTTCAAAAGTTAAGTTGAAAAAGTTAATTTTTTTTGAAAAAGTTGACATTTTAAATCCCCCCTTGTAGGCAGGTTAAGGGTTAAATTTATGAAAAAAATGATATCAAATGAAAGGTAAATATCTAAGATTTTAGTATAAAAAAAAATTATGTTGATTTGTTTATTTTTCAAAAAGTTATGGAAGTTTTAAGAAAAAAAAGTGAAAAAATTTCGAAAATTAGCGATTTTTAAATTTGTAATTTTTTTGGAGGTTTCCCCCATTTACGGGGAAAGAGGGTATTTTTTTCAATTTTTGAGGGTAATGTCTTCGACTAGATACAATTTGTGATCTTTTGACGTATCATTAAAAGAAATTGGTTCGGTGAGAGCTGAGAAAAAGTGGTAACAGACACAAAAAATAAAAAAAATAAACACATCTTAGTAAAACCAGTACCTTCTCAGCTTCGCATCGAAGCTAAAAATAAAATGAAAATTCATTCAGTAATAAAAAAATTATTTCAACTTACTCTTTTTCTTTATTCAATTTTTGTTGTACTTCAGTACTACATTGTGCTTGTAAAGCTGTTTCTAATTGAATTGGTTTTCGACCTTGTCTTAGCGGTCTAATATTTTCTTTTGTTAAATCCAAAGCATCAGATGTGTCTGCAGGGTTCATGTTAACCTAAAAATTGATACGAAAAATATTTATTTCAAGACTACTTATTAAATAATAAATATTATTTTCATGAATGATTATCATATTAGCCTACATCTTAATTTTCAGATGATAATACTGTTTATTTAAAGAAAAATTATGAACTACATTTTAAACATTATAATAAAAATTGAAGAATGGTTGCACTTAAATATTTTCTTTATTGCAATATTCTGGAAAAATTTTTGAGAGAAGAAATATAGGGTATATTTAAAATTCTTCATTAATTGCAAACAACAGATAATGGAAACAATATTTATAATATCTGATTTAATCAGAAAAAAATTGACAAAATAAAAATAAAATAACTTACCACTTCTGAGACTGACGAATTATTGAAAAATCAAAAGAAAAACATTTTACATATTTTACGTTATATGAATTTTATATTACCGAAATTTATAGTTAAATTATCAAAATTTGTAACGGATTATCCTTTGGAAATATCAGATCACTATAATTCTACGTAACCAACGAAAAAGGAGGGGTTGGGTTACCTAGTGTTTAAAATTATTATAACGTATTTTCTGATTTGAAATCTATACCGATGGTAAACTGTAATCCCCACTATAAAAAATTAATATTATCAGTAATAATGGAGGTAGAGTTATGGAGGTTCTGAATTTAGAAAATGACCTTCACTATATTAATTTATTGAAATGTCAGAACCTTAACATGAATATTAAAAATAACAGACAATAAATACATTTATATGTATGAATTCGTCGTAGTTAAGTAAATAAGGTTATTGTCATTTATATCAAAAAAATTCGATTAAATGAATTAAAAAATACCACATTTTTTTAATAAGATAAGTGGCCTTAAAATCACAATTAAAGTTAATTTAATCAAGAATAATAAATGTATAGTTACAAATATTCTAATTTTATGGCGATCATAATGATAAAATTCACTTAGGTTTTGATATAAAATTGAACATTGATTTACAATATTTATTTATTGTCAATCACTTAAGTTTTTTTAATTTTCATATATTACATTATTATATATTTCAAATTTAACATTTTTTAAGAAGGGTTTAAGGTGGGTTATCAGCATATATTAAAAGATTAAATGAAAGGTTATTTATTATGTAAGGGAATCGATAATACGCAAATGAATATTAAAAGGAATTTAAATAATTTAAATACGCAATAAAATAGTCAATGGTGATATTCATTGACTACATACACCTTTTGAGTAGAACGATACAGAAAAATATAGATAAGTAACAAAATTTTCATCAACCATTTGTTTGACACACTAGATTTTATATCACCGCCTGAATTAAATTTACCTCCATAGTTATTCCGTTTTAATAAACATTTCCAATTATCTCGCCCCGCAGTCTTATCAATAATAAACCATTAAATGTATTAGTACATCCTACTATATAATTCAGTTTAATTTCGCGTAATTGTCGTTTAATGTGAACTTAGTTGCATCAGTGTGATTGTGTAGTGAATATTCATACAATTTGTGTTTTCCCTATTGTTTTAATTCTCTCACTTCTTTCTTCGGTTATTATTATTACAAAGTTTTCGTGAGTTGCTGAAACAGGTCAGGGATTGTTACGTCATTTCGATGACTAATTAATATTTTTATATTCCAATTTTAGTTGTGTAACTACCGTTTGGGTTTTTACCCTTTAAAACTATTAAGCTACAATATCTAATTCTACTTTACAATAAAATGTCTGCAAATGTTGGCGGTAGTGTATTAGACGGCGAAAGCGAAATTTATGATGTGTACAGTTTAGGATTTTGGCTTAAAATATTAATTAATGGCAGTTTAATTGGACTAATTACATATTTGTTAATGAAAATATTTATGAAACGTAATGAACCAGAACAAGAAGATTATGTTGATACTTCTTTACCTAAAATGAAAAAAAGAGATTTTACTATTGAAGAACTTCGTGAATTTGATGGCACTAAAGGGGATGGTCGTATTTTAGTTGCTATCAATGGAAAAGTCTTTGATGTTACCAAAGGAAAACATTTTTATGGGCCAGGTATTTAAGGCTCATCAAGCCTTGATTAATTTCTTAATAAAATTCGATTTATTCATTTATTTTGTTTTATTTATAGGAGGAGTTTATTCTACTTTTGGTGGCCATGATGCTTCACGTGGACTAGCAACATTTTCTGTCAGTGGCAAAGATGAATATGATGATTTAAGTGATTTGAATTCATTAGAGTTAGAATCAATGTTGGAATGGGAAACTCAATTCAAAGGTAGGTTTGAATTTAAAATACAATTGTGTATGAATTACACAATTGTATTTTACCTTTTTAAGCAATAAAATCAATTGGATAATAAAAATATTTCATTAATTCTCTTGATTTTTCTACTCTATAAATATAGCTTTTAAGTGAAAATATTAGACATTATATAAATAAATACAAATCACTTGAATTTAACTTAAAGTATATTTAATCTTTGTTTTATTCATTTCCATTTAAAAACATTGTTAAAATTATTTTTCAAAACCCAAATTACTTTATATATTTAATTTTAATGAGGTCTTTTCATTAATTATTATTGTTACAATTTTTTTGTTCTTAGTTTAACTCAAATTAGTCATTCTTCTTTACATTAGAAACCATGCCTTTTTTTAAATTTATGATTTGTTTACAAATGTGTAGTTGTTAAATTTATTTATTATATTTTATCAGTTTTAGTGGTAAATATTTGCCTTTCATTTAAATTAAATTAAATTTTAATTGTTATCTTCAAGGTTATTCTGTTATTATTAACTACTCAACTATATCACAAATTTTAATAATAATAAAAAATTTTTATTATTAGATTTTTAGATTTTGTTATTTTCAGTTTATTTTTGATTTAACTATTATAAGGTTTTTTTCCATACTTTATACCTATTAGGGGTTAGGTAGGTTATTAACTTAGTATTTTTAAATGGCTTACATATTTGATTCTATGCTTCTATATTTAGAATACGTTTCAAAGGTTCAACCTAGTTTTTTTTTTTTAAATTAACTAGGTTTTTGGTTAGAAAATTGTATACTTTGCAACATTAATAACCTTATAAGTTACATAACACTTATATTTTAAAGATACTCTTTTTATAAATAAATCAAAAATATCATATAACTAAACAAAAACAAAAAAAAAATTCATAACTATTTTCATTTTGTGAGAATCATGGTATGTTAATCATCTTATATATAAAATTAATGAGTAGTTTTATGCATTGAAATACTCATAATATTAATTTTTTTTATCTGTTAATGTTTATAAATATTTATTTCTACAAACTAAATAATTGTTATATTTCATAATAAATAATTATTCAATTAAATAATAAACTGATTGCTAATAAGGCTTCTTATATAGGGTGATTGATTAACTATGTCTCACAACTATATTGACTATCTGTGCCTCGTGAGGCATAGTTAGTCAATCACTTTGTACATATATATTATATATAATTATATATTGATAAAATGATGAAAATGTCAGTTTAATGCCAAGTTTATTTGATCTAATTTTATTAATGGAATTCTTTTCAGAAAAATATGATTATGTGGGTCGTTTACTGAAACCTGGAGAACCACATGGTTACTATACAGATGATGAAGAATCATCATCAAACAAACTTTCTGTCAATAAATCAAAAGAGAGTGTCATAGATAATAGTACTCAAGATAACGAAGAAACAAAGACTGAATCTAATAACCAAAAAAACTTGACAGAAAATAATTCTGCCATTAATAATAGTGCCGAAGTAGATAAATAGTACAAACTTTTATACATCACAACATTATATATAAATGCAAAATGGGGGACTTTGAGCGATAAAATCCATAATGGTGATGGTTTCAAAATGTTCTATGGTGGTGTTAAATCTTCTGTTTGTACTTAATATGACTGAATCAATTGTTATTAATTTTTAACTTCTATTAATCTTTTGGGATTGTCAATAAATGGATTAATATAAAAATAAAAACCTAAGCCATAACCTTGTCTTGTTAATTAAAGTTTCTTGTTTAATATTATATCTTTGAAAAAAAAATTATTATTATGTGAAAATAATGGCATTATTGTTTTATTTTAGTTTTAGTTTTCATTAAACAAAATTATATTCTAGTAAACTAAAAAAGAAATACAATTATTTATTTTTTTAAATCATGAATATAAAAATGTACTTATAGAATTTCACTATTTTTGATAAATTTATACTAAGATGTGAAAATAAAACACGTAAAATATATCTCATATGTTGAAAACATAAATTATTCTATCAAATTTGATTTTTTAATTATATATAATACAAAAAAATTGAAAATGTCTTAAGCAACACAAATTTATGTAAATAAAGAATTATACACTACTAAATCTATACATTTGAGATTTGTCATTTTAATATACAATATTGTATAACATAAAAAATAAAATTATTTTCCTCTGAGATTCAATAAAAATAATTGTAAAATTTAGGTTATTTATGTATGACAAAGAATTATATTTAGTTATTTAAAGCCATTTGACGAAAATATCTATTTTTTGTATAAATCAAGCTGTTTATAATTGATATCTGAAATAACAGCATTATTATGAATTATTACAATTACATAATACATATGAAGTTTAGAGTAATACATCTGTTTAAAATTAAATAATTTGTGTAATTAATTTATTCAGATTATAATAATAATTAAACTGATCATACAAATCAAGGGCATGAAACGAAAATTAAAAAATATAGACATTTTTAATTTTCTGATTAACTATTGTTGAGAAACTTAATATGTTGTAAACACAGATAAAAATTCTACATAAAGAAGTTATAAGAATAGTTATTTAAAAAATGAAAAAAAATTTTCCTATTTTGTAGATTGATCCTTTAAACCTAATGTCTAGAAATATTGTCAATGATAACTAATAACATTTTGATTGGTTATTTAATTCCATGCAGATTTCAGGTTTTTATTATCTAGTTGATTGTTTAATAATTATCTTCTATTTTAAATTTATAATTATATATATGTATACAAAGTGTGTTTAGAAAAAACGGGAATTTTTAATTTTGGAGAGTGATTATCAATTTTTATTTTATAACGATGGTACACGTGACCCTGAAATCTGATGAAATTTTCTGCTTTTTTTATTTTATACTTTATCAGTGGAAGCCGCTGAGGTTATACGTGTTTTTAATAAGCCCGTCGATTTTCGTTTATTAAAAAAAATGATCAAAGGATTTCTATCAAATGTTGCGTAAGAAGTGAAAAAAATATGTGAAATGTTAACAATAGTGAGTCTACCATAAGTAAAACAAAGGTTTACGAGTGTTTTCTAATGTCGTGAACCTATGATTATTTTGTAACTTTTAGTTTTAAAAAATTTATATGTAATGTTATAATTTCTAGAAAGTAGAATTATACTGTCAAATACTTTAATTGAAACACTATAAATTATTATGGTATTAATATTTTAATGATTGTTTAATGAACAATGTAAAGATAAAAGGGGACTTGACCATCTTCTGAGTGGTCAGTGATCAATCAGTGAATGTTATATTATAATTAGTTATTATTTTGACTCTTCCTGACAAAACTTATACGCGTGGTCAAACTTGGACTTATAACACCCAGTTTATCACACCGAGATGGCCATGAAGATGTTGAAGATGACAAACGCCCCAGTACATCAATAACCGATTGAAACATGAAAAAAGTGAAAGAAATGGTTATGAACGATCACCGAATTATAATCAGAGAAGTCGCTGTTGATGTTGGAATATCAATTCGCTCATGCCATGAAATTTTTTCAAATGTTTTGAGTATGAAACGCGTAGCAGCAAAATTAGTTTCAAAATTGTTGATCAGGAGTCACTTGAAGAAGTCAACGACGATACACAATTACTGAAACGTGTTATAACAGATGACGAACCATGGGTTAATGGATACGACGTCGAAACAGGCTCAATCGTCTCAATGAAGGCATTCTAGATCGCCAAAACCCCAAAAGGCTCGATCGAATGTGAAGGTTATGCTTACTATGTTCTTCTATTTTAATGGGATAATGCTTCATGAATTCATCACACTAGTTCAAATGGTCAATAAAGAGTACTACATATAACACGCCTTTTGCGTGAAATAATCCGAAAAAAAAGCCAGGATTTGTGACAAAACAATTCGTGACTTTTGCACCCCCATAATGCACTTGCTCACACTCCATTGTTTGTTCATAAATTTTTGTCCAAAAACAATACTGTAACGATTCCCCAGCCTCCATATTCGCCAGACATAGTTCTGTGTGACTTTTCTATTTCCAAAAATATAGAGAACCCTAAAAGCCCGTCGTTTTTCAATCATAAATGACATTAAGAGCGCATCGCTGAATAAGGTGAAGGATATCCCAAAGATCGAGTTTGAGAGGTGTTTGGAGGATTGGAAGAAGTGTTGGCACAAATTCATAGTATCTAACGGGGACTTTTTTGAAGGCGACAACATTAATGTAGACGAATAAATAAATATTTTTTTCAAAAAACAAAAATTCCCTTTATTTTCTGAAAATACCTCGTATATATATATAGATATATATGTATATATGATAATCATTTTGATATTAGCCACTTGATTTTCTCTTAAAATAATTTTATTAAGAAAGTTATTTATGGTATTTTTTTATTTTCATACATTTCTCAATTTATCAATTATTATGTATTTATTCAATTCATCCCTTATACCTTATAAGGGTTAAATCAACATCAACTTCATATTTTTCTAATAGTAATATACATAATTAACTAGCTTATAAGAAAAAATTGAACTAATTAAAAAAATGACTGGCTGATAACAACTTTTGACCATTAATTCGGAAGTTATATCTATTTTAAAATATAGAGTAGTAGTGATGATGTGTGGGTCACATTATTTTTACCATTACTCTACCACACTATTCCTCTATTCTAGACTTAAAAATATTTATAACTTCCAAAATTCTATATTAAAAATTTTTAAAGAACATTCATTTTCTTAATTAGATCATTTTTTATTTTATAAACTAGATAATATATGTATGTTACTATTTGAAAAAAATAAAATTGACGGCCTTCTAAAGTATTAGACATGAATTAAAAACATACTTAATAATTAATAAATCAAGAAATATTTAGAATTTAAAAATAGCAAACAGAATTTTCTGAATATAATTATTATTTTAAGAAATTGGCTATTATTAAAATAAACACTATTTATATAAAATTTGTTTTTTTAAGAATAATATCCCCAATGTATTCATTAAATAATGAATTTTTCATAAAAATTTACAAATTAAAATTTGATTTATTTTTACAATAAATCATAGTAAATATCTAGTTTATTGTAAGAAAAAAATATTTTTAAGGGTAGAATGAGAACCTATTAAATATAAATATAAATAGGTATATTAGTTTTCTATTAAATAAAGAAAAGTCTAATTAAAATTTTGACTGGTCGATAACCAGTTCTGTATTATTATTTGTTAAGTTAATATAATTTTTAGTTATAAGCGAGAGGATTACGAAAAATTGGTCATCAACCAGTCAAAAATTTATTTAGATTGTTCTTCATTTAATTGTAAAAAAATATTTATAGATTCATTTAACTTTCGAGAATTATTCCTAATATATCCTTAGAAATAATTTTTTCTTAAAATAAACTTGATATTTACCACGATTTATAAGAATAAGTCAAATTTGATCTGTATATTTTTATGAAAATATCATTAAACATTGGAATAATATTATTCTTTAAAAATACACTGTATTAATATATGTAAATAAACAACTTAGAAAAAATATCCAAACCAATTACAATCATTATAATTGCCGTTTACAATCAAATATTAATGAATAGTTTTTATTATTTTAATCATATATTAAATTAAACAAGCTTTTATTTGAAATAATTTAAAATGATGTAAGCATTTTGTTACTATACAAAAAGTACAAAAATTAGCTAATTTTATCAAGAATAATGCCAAGCTATCGAGATTTCTATTAGTTTTTAATTTTTCATCTTAAGTATATTTTACACATTGTAATTTAACGTAGATTTAAAGAAGGCAGATTTCTTGAATCGTCAAAAATTAAAAAAAAAAATGATTACATGATTTTTAAACACGCGCGATATGTTTATTAATTATTGAATTTTCAAGGAAAGCATTTCGACAGCAAGGCTAATGTAAAAAGTATCAAAAAAAATTTTGCAGTTTTTATAAGACTGTTTATAAAAACTATAATTTTTTACGACATTTCTCATTATTATAGTGACCGAAGAAAATTTTTCAAAATTATGGCACTGATATCTTCAATTAGATACGTTTTTTACCATATGCTGTATCGTTGAGTAAAATCAGTCTAGTAGGGACGAGAATATTGGCTTATCAGACACAAAAATAAAAAACAGCAGAGTAAAACCAATAGCTTAGCCACTATACATCGAAGTTAATGTAATAATAATTCAGTGAAATACTGTAGTATAAATACTGATTGAAATATTTATACTACTTATTTGAACTTCAACATTTTCTTACTTTCCTGACTCAATGCTAGATATTTTTTACATGACATGACATTTTTTAATAAGATTGATTTCCATAGCTGCTTTTTCAAAATTTGACCAGAAAATGATCAATTAAAGCATTCTGCAGAGTACGTGCAATGAATAGTTAATGTTATAGATATAATTATTGGCATGTTCATAATTATTTTAAATAGTGGTACTGTGTAAGATTGTGAAGCATTTTATACCTCGACACGGCCCGCGTCGCTTCGTTATACACGATGCCCCGCGACTCGTGCCACCTTTATCAGCCGTCGCCCTACTGCGAGTATCTGACTGACCAACACCGCGTGTCATACGCTACGGTGCAAAGTCCAGCAAATGTCGCACGGCCGACGACGACAAATGGTGCGAGAGTCATCCTCCCGTTATGAAAGCGACAACGTCGACCAACCGATCCGCACCCGCCCACCATCGCCATCAACGCTGCTAACCTTTTGTCGCCCGAAGATCAGGCTGGACATCGCGTCGTCGACGACAGCGAAAGTGCCGCGATATTATGCGAAGATTATTATTACTGTGTTAATCTTTTCGGTTTGTTTATTTTTGTTAACGTAATCTGTTGTCGCTCATTTAATAAACGGCCCACGGGTCTCTACCCTCAAAACCAGTGTCGACCACATTTTTGCGACGTAAGTCGTGTCAACCTAGCTTCACTATTCTAACTATTTTTTCATTTTTTAAACTATGAAACATACTATATTTAATTTAAAGCTGAGTTAAGACTAGATATTTCTCTTAAGGTACCGATAAAATAATGAAATCCTTAATAAACAAATTATTACTTGCAATATAAAATAAATTTTTTATCTCAATGATCTAGTTACCATACTATAATTTTCTCATTAATAAAAAAAGCTCTAACAAAAAGAAAAAAATGTAGCAGCACAGCGAAGACAAGTATAGATGATATCGGACAGTGAATAAAAATACCATTATAAGAATTGTTTCCATGCAAATGTGTAATTAGTATTTAATTTTAAAAAATTGGTGAATTTTTCCAAAGCAAAATGAACTCCTATTTCCCTTACTTCGAACTTATTTCGACTATAAAAAGCCATTTTCTCCCGTCAAAACCTGTTGTTTCGGTAATTTTAAAATACACAAAATCTGCGACGCTCTATTCAAGATTTAATAACTATAATTTCAACATGATTAAAATCGTGTGTTTTTTTTGACCTATTGATCATTAAAATTGGTCAAGTGAGTACTGAGAAAAATGAATGACAGTTACAAAAAAAAAACTATTTAGTAAAATAGTTTAATATGAACAAGAAATCCTTTTCACTGTCGTGAACCCATAATTATTTTGTAGATGTTATTTTTAAGGAATTTATATGTAACATTGTAATTACTAGGAAGTAAGAGTATACTGCAAAATACCTTAATCTTAGAAAGTATTATGATATTAATATTTTAATAAACAATGTAAATATAAAAGGGGACTTGACAATCTTCTGGATGGCCAGTGTTCAATCAGTGAATGTTACATTATAATTAGTCATTATTTTGACTCTTCCTGATAAAACTTATCCGCGTAATAGAACTTGGACTTAGAACACCCAGTTCATTACATCACAAAGGGAGGAGACTATAGCAATGGTGTCCTTGATATTCAGTGAAGTTTTACAATCTAAATGAGACAAAAATCAAACGAACTATGAATTATTTTCCACCTGAAAAAAGAATTAAGAATGAAATGCAAAAAAAGTAATTTCGGTGGATGGGGTTCAAATTTTGTACCTGGAAAAATAGCTAAAACTATTATAATATAATCATTTTATAATTATATATTATATAAAAAGATTTAAGTTTAAAAAAATTGGGTTAACTTTTTGAAAAGAATATTCAATTTATATTCCATCACAAATTTCTGGATATCCTGAATTGATAAAATATCCAAAAGGGTCGTCTTGAACAGATTCGAGATAAATTAAAGTTATTATAAGACTACAAATGTACTATATACTTTAAGAGTTATTATCTAGGTTCTTGAAGTTGTGTTTATTTTTACAGTGTTACATTTGCTATGCTGTTCAAAATAATGTAACTAGTATAATTCATAATTACACCAGAGCTAGAAACAGAAATAACTTCGGCTTTTTAACTATATGGTAAAATTTTTAGTTAGGTTAAACTTTTAAAAGTGATTTCAGTTTCTACAATTATTAACCTAACAAATACTTAAAAAAAAACTCGATATAAGTCTACTAACTTACAAGATATGTCAAAAATTTACTGAATTTTACGAATAAAATTAACAATTATTTATTAAGTATTAAAATTGTTAGAAAATGAGTTTTAAATGAAAAATACTTTCCATAATATAAGTACTATTAAATAATGTAAAATCCTTAAAAATGTATCTCTATATGATTTAAAGACTAATTACCATTTTTTTTATCATTTCTAAGGTTTTTCTACTGTCACAGGTATTCTAGATATATGATAAGCCCTTAGTGTAAATAAATAAATAATCCGCCATTGAATTTAAAACAACTCTAAATGTTAAATTTTATACTTTATAATAGCAGTAAAAAATAATTAACTCCATTAATACATAAACTTTAATAAAACAGACAGAATATGTATTATAACCTACATATGGATGGTTTTTGTGAGAAGTTGGTTAAGTCAGTAATTTTTCAGGAAACAAAAAAAGGAAATATTTTTATCTAGAGATAAATAAGGCTTAACAAATTAAAATCATAATGAAATAACTATTAAACTATCTATAGAAACAACATTGATATCGCTAAACACAAAAGAATTTTCTCAATTAAACTAAACAAAAAAGTTGACCATTTTTTTTTTAACAAAACCATCCATATACAAAGACATAATTAGGAAAAAATATATGATAAACATTCAAATTTGTATTTACAAGAAAAAATTCCAGGTATTAATTTACAAAACAAAATATTTAATTTCATGTCACCTTAACACGAGGCTATTCATGTTTTTAATATTAAAGTATATGGTAAGTGGATTAATATTAAATCATACCTAATATTTGTGAAAATATCACAAGTATAAAAAAAATATTTTGCTTATTACATAAAAGTAAGAACTCTAGTGTGTTTTTAAATCTAACTAAATACTATAAAAAGCAAAATATAATTTTAAAAGTTTTCACATATGATACAATAGATATTTTGATCAAACGTGAGAGAAAAGAATATAAATAAAAATTAAGGATTATCAGTCAAAACTCATACATACAATTTTTTAACTTAAACTAATACAAAAGAAACATAGTTTAAAATTATTTAGAATTTTGAAAAAAATATATATACACATTATTTATGATAATAATTCAAGATGTTGTTTACCACAATATCCATAAATATTTAAACATAAATAATAAATTTAAAAAATAATACCAATCAATAAGTTAATTTATGAATAAATTTAAGTTCATTAATTTGAGTAAGCACCATAGCTACAATTAAAAATGACTAAATTAAAAAATAAAAATGACTAGATTGTTTTGGTAAGAACAATATTACACAGTTGATTAATTTAAATGAATAATTAATAAAAAAATATTTACATTATCTTTTATAATTTATATAACAATATTTTATACTAAATGATATAATCATATAAATTCCAATAAATTATTTGTCGTGTACAAAGTAAGCTTCAATGATAAGTAAATAAAAACAAAACTATTTAATTTATAATTGTATTTCCTTGTAAAAATGGTCAAATTTTCTATTAAAATATGTTGCACAATGAATATTAAAATATTTAAATTATTTGGGAAGCGAATTATAAGTATACTTATAATTAGCTCAATCATTTTACTATTTCAGTCTTTTAGAAAAAATAATAATAAAACTTTAAATAGGATTTAAACTACACTATCCACTCACATACTCACAGATTTTTACAGATAAATAATTTATTAATGCTTCAAGTGTATTACACATACCAGCAAGATTGTAAATTTTCATTTTATTGTGAATAATTTAGATATAACAATTTGAAAATTTAACACGACTAATACCAATAGGAACTTATATATAGTATCATTGGGTGAGCTCCTTTAAATAAAAATTATTCTTAATAAAAAATATATATTAAAGTATGACATAGAGTTTATAGAGATCTTCAATAATAAAGCAAATTTCAAAACCAAATCGTAGTGAGATATGCAGGTAAGAGTATCCTTTATTAATTTTGTAGGTAGGTAGATAAACCCTAACAATAAATTCCACTCTTATCACAGCCTTTGTGGGTTGTTGACAATATTAAATAAAATTAAATAAGCAGATACATTATAAATATAATATCAATAAAATATAAGCATTAAAGAAGAAATGTAAGTAGTAATGAATTCTATTCTGACACTTAAGTAGAATAAATTAAATGTATACTAAAAAAAAATATAAAAATTTGGGAAAAAAAAACAATTGAAGTAAAAAGTATTCTAAATGAAAGTGAAAGCTTAATAATAAATATTATTAATTTATATGTTAAAAAATGTATTAATCAAATAGTCTTTATTACATTAAATAAATATTTTTGAATATACTTTTTTTTGTTAGTAATTCACAATTTTTTCTGGACTTTGTGATCAAGTTAGTTTTATAAAAAAAAAAAGTAACATAAACATTTTTCTGGGGCACATATTTATAGCATAAACTTAAAAGGTGATAAAAAATCAATGAATATTGGTTTTTATTATAGGTGTATTAAAAAAGTTTAGATAAGTAAGGTTTTTAAATGTTTCCAAAATAAATAATATTTCTATAGAACAACAAAAATAACGAGTCTCACTGATTAAATTTTTACATAACATTATGTAGAATGAACATAAGTTAATAGCTTTGATATTTTAATAATATAAATAAATAGTGAGTTGTTAAATAATTATGCATTATTCTCTTGCAAATTCAGTTGGTTTACAAATTTGGTAGCGTCGACATCTAAAAGTAATACATAAAAGTATACTAATAATTAAAAAATGAAAGGTAAATGTGACAAAAATATATGCAAAAATATCACACACAAAAAATACCTTTTGTATAATAACATATTACATTATAAAACTAGATTTATCAAGTCTATTTTTTATGTTGTATATTTTATTTTTCAAAAAGTTTTTTTTATTATTCCCATTTTTATTTTAAAAATTTTGTTTTTTCTATTTTTATATATAAATAAAAACAATATAAATTGTTAATATATAAAATTATTTTTAGTTAAATGATTAGTTGATAACAACTTTTAAACCATTATTTTAAAAATATTGACATTCTTAGATATAATGAAATAGGGAGCATCTATTAAAAGTATTAGAATGAATAGAAGCCTTCATAATGTTGATAAATGTTGATTTATAACACATTATTTTTGAATACTCAATCCATAAAATAAGAAAAAATATTGAACTTTAGATAAAACTTACCTAGCATTATTTTCAACAATTGTTTGGACATCTGAAGAATACATACTAGGTGGTGGTATAAGAGCAGGTGTTGATAAAATATCTGACTCTAAATTTCTTTCTAAACTCCTACTAGATGAAGCAGACAAAGGTCTAAAGCTGGAAAAAACTCCAGTATTATCATCTTGACTGCCTGACAATCTAGGGATGAAACACAAAAATATTTACATTTTGAAGATATTTTGACAAAAATAATAATAAAAGATTTCTAAACTAATTTAACTTGATTAATTTAAAAAAAAATTTATTTACCTGGACCTGAAATATGATTCTCTAGATCTTCGCATTTGGGGCCTTTGAAATCTTAAATTTAATTGAGAAGGATCGGTCACATATTTATCTTGATGTTGTCTTCTTCGTCTAAGTCCAGGTGTATATTGATCATCTATATCTTCAGAAGAGGGTAGTGGTTTGCTATGGACTTCGGTTAATAAACAGTGTCCTTTATTTATTAATAACTGTTCTGATTGTTTTCCACTGTTACTTATTATATTAGATTCATCACTATTTCAGGATAATAATTATAAAAATTAATATAATATATATTACGTAGTGTATTTTTACTATGTCCAATTTAGTTATACGTTGCAACACATATATACAGAGTGTTACTTTAATGTATGTCAAGAGTAGTAAGGTGATATTCAGTAAGACCTAAAAATAGTGAAATCAAAAACTTAAGTTTCCCATCTCCAAAATTAGGGTTTCTAAGTTCCCCATACTACTAATTTTATCTAAATCCAAAATATACATTGTTACGGTATTTCTCACAAAATTTTTTATACAAATTGGGAGATCATTAAATTTTGTGTGAATTTTGCCTCTACCCTAAATTTCGAACTCAAAGTTGTAAAAAAATTTTACTTTGGTATGACCTATCAAATTAAATTAAAATTTTAATGGGAGTCCTGTAGTATAGTTTATTTTTAGTTAAGACGATTATATAACGAGAAAAACCCAGGAATGAGATATTTTTTTAATTTTATGGGTTTCCTTTGTCTTTTATTATTCAATTAAACCAATTATAATTTTTTCCATTAATACTGTACTAGAACTTTGAACTACTAAAATTAAAATTCTTTATTTTAGTTTATTATTTTTAATTCAAGAAAATATAATGATTAAAAGACTAAAATGAATATTTTGAGCTGTATATTTTTAACTTTATTACAATGGGACAATGAAATAATTATTTTGGTTTAATTGGCACACTTTTTTCTGACAATAATCACAACTGAGAATACGGTATATCATTGTTCTTGTTAATATTTATTTAGACATAATTAAGTAATTGATCACTATTAAATAGACCCTAATTAAGTTTCAAAAAATATTAATAACTATTAAATTATAGCTTATTATTTTATGCAATTAAAGTGCATACATTGCACTAAAAGTGAATAACCTGCATTGTAAAACATCTTAATGTATGTCACTTATTTAAAACTGTAATTCAAATCTACACTTTTTCAAATAAAAAACCACTTACTATTAAAGCTTTATTTTAAGATTACTAATAAATAGTGCTGAATATAATTTATTGAATTATTACCTTAAGTTTCAATAGTACTTTAATAGAATTTTTTTTTAAGCCTATCACTCCATAATATTCCTTCTTGATTTGTCTATAATTTTTACTATTTTTTTTTATTAGTACACTACTTTTAAAATATTAAAAAACTCTTTTATAATTCTTTTTGTTAAACAATTTATAATTGTGTTAAGTTTTATATTTATTTATATAAATTATTTTATTTTAAAAGTTTTTGCTAACATTTTGTTACATAAAATGTAATATGATGTTACTTACTAATTATTACTTTGATTTGTTTCACTACCTAATTCTGATACTTTTGAAATAACTGGAAGAGGAATTTTGCTATATTTGTTTACTAGTATTGATTGAAGTGGTTTTTTATTTCTAAGACATAGTAAATTTTACATATTTCTATACCAAAGTCATATAAAAATGCCACACTAATTTTATTTAACTAAAATATATCACATACCGGCATTGATCAGTAATTTTGTTATTTGGATCTGAAGAAGAATGAGATTTTAAGCTAAGATTTGATAACTCGTTTTCTTCAAAATGTTTGCCATTCAAATTTATTGTATCAATATTTCTATTTCTTGACCATTTTCGGTTAGCTATAAAAATTATTAATATTTAGTTAATTTGATGGTTTTATTTTAATAAAAATTATCTTTATATATAACACTAAAACGCGTATATAAATTTGTACACTACAGTCTGATCAAAATCTTGCAAGACACTCATTTTCTCAAAATTAATCGAGAACTTTAAGTTTATTTAAGAGAAAAAATAATAGATACAAAAAATATGTACTTTTCATCCCTTCATGGTTAACAAAACTTTAAAATTCATTTTCTTAAATGAGAACCCCTATTTTTAACTTAATATTATGATAGAAAAAAGATTACAAACAATTTTGTTCTCCTATTTTTTTTTTTATTTAATGGACTGTTCATCCATTAAAAATATTTTAATACATAGGGTGGTATGTAGCAGGGTGTACACATACAGCAATACCTGCTATATTTACTCATACAACAAATCTATTCTATGTATTAAAAATAACTGTAACGGATGAATGGTCCATTGAATAAAGAAAACTGCTAATAAATTTTTCAATCAAAATATTAAGTTCAAAATTGGGGTTCCATTTAAGAGTTTCTAACACAAAAGAGATGAAAAAAAAAATTTAATTATTGTAGTTTTTTAAACCTAACATTTTTCCTTTACTAAAATTAAAAATTCTCAATAGTGTCTGATAAAATGAATGTATTATTAGATTTGGATCACACTGCATATATTTTATAACATAATAATCTACTAATATTTTATATAATTTTAAAATAAGATTAAAAAATAAAAATTTATAAAATTAAGTTATTATTAGTTTTAAAAGTTTTGCAAATTATTACAATGCTAAGTGACAGTAGTATATTAGAAGGAGTCTTTCCGTATCAAGATGATACATAATTTTTTTTTTATTAATGATTAAAAACATTTACAGAAGAACTATAGTTATATGTATACCTATAATTAGTTTCATATAAGAAACATTTTTAGACGATCAAACACATTTTTATTATATCATAATATTTTTAAAAATACAATACAACCCATAGTAAGTTTACATAATACTGCAAGAATTTAATAACCTAAACTTATTACAGTGTTAAGGAAAAAGGGGTAAAACAATTTTTCTTTTCTTATATATTTTTGTAAATATTTAAGATGTAAAAAATAAAACACAAACAACTTTTTTAAATATTTGTTTTTTTTTTAATATATGATCAATAAAAATATATTTTATGGCAAATGTAGTAAAAATACTCTTGAAAGAATAGCGGTCAGAAGAGTAAAAAATTGTTACTTGTTCTCTCCTTTTACTCACAAACCATCCAAGTATTAAATTATATTACATTGTTTTAATATAAACTATATACAAAAATGTTTCTTTAAAAATAGTTATTTTTTCCTATATCATCTTACATAGTAACTATTCTAGAATTAAACAGCTCAAATAGCTTGAATGTTGAAAAATATATGTTGCTATATATGGGTTAGGGACTTGTAGAAATTTGGACATTTTTCAAAAGTAATAATTCAAAATATAATTTAGTAACATGAAAATTTGTTTAATTTTTCCAGGAAATTTGAGTAATTAAAATTTTATACATAGATGTTTAGTAAGTAAAAAAATAGGTTTTATTATTTACATTGTTCATAACAATTGACCAATTTTCTTACTTTTTAACATCCTGTACTAAATTGATGCATCTTTTGTTATACTTTTAAGAGAATATTGTACTAAATTAAAAAAAATTATTATTTGATTTATTTATATAATGAATAAAAGATATAAAAACGGTTTGAGTAAGCATAAATTAAAGAAGAAAATTTACTATTTATAATAAGTTTTTTTTTATTTTAAATAATAGATATAGAATATATATATATATATATAAATATCAATTTTGATATATATTTTACAATTCTTTACTACTATATTGCTTAAATTTAATCATTTTAGTTATAAAATCTCTAGCTCTAATAAAATAAAAAACTGAAAATGCTTATGAAAAATTTCTATATGAATCACTTGTTGAAGATATTCAAGATACTACTAATTATGTTTCAAGTTAAAATACCTTATTACTTGTTAATGTATTAATTTAATATTATTCAAAATATTCCCAATCGCTTACAAATATTAAAATCTTGATTAAGTTAACTTTAGTTTAATTATTACACATGCAAAATATTCAATTGTTATGTATAATACACACATGGAACTTGAAGTTAGCTTAGAAATTATTGTTAATTGTTTGTTAAAAAGACATCAAAAAGCTATTTCCATTATTACACAGACCTTCATCAGAGACATTATCATTTAACTCATAAATTTCTGGAGGTGGTTTAGTATTTAATGTGTCACAATAATTATTATTGCCATTCAGATGACGATCAATTACTCTTATCTCCAATTTTCCTGATACTGTTTCCATAGGACAATTTTCAGAATCATCATTTCCTAATTATGCCATAATTTTTTGAAATATTACCAATTATATTTTATTTATCTATTTATACATCTCATTTTAAACTAACTGTTTAAGCTAATTTAATAATGAACATTTATTCAATAAAAATGTCTTATCATGTAAAGATAATATAAAATGTAGAAAAGATAATATCATCCAAACTAAATTGTTTAATACAATACTAATATAAATATGCTTTTTAAATTGATACCAAAATCGATAATACAAAATATATATGAATGAATAGTTAATTAAAAAATTTAAATTCACCCTTAACTATTTTTTTCTATTTGAAAATAAACTTCAAAATCTACTAAGTATAAAGGAATTCATAGTCAAATGTACATAAAAATGATAGGAATCACTGACCATTTTTTAAAGACTCATCTGCATATATCTTTCCTGATAATTCATCAGCATCATTGGAAGATCGTGTAGTGTTAGTAGTAACTTGCAGAGAAGGAACTTTTAGTTTCATTTTGGTTGATCGTATAAATTGAGTATTTAAGTCTTTTTTAGGAATAACACTCAAACTTATGTTCTATAAATCATTTACAAAAACACACATAATTATTTTTTTTAATTGTTAATATTTTGTTTGAGTTAGTAAAAACTGTAACTTACAGATAAGCTAATAGATTTTTGTATGCTCTTTGAAGAATCTTTTTCTACACTCCTTATAGCTAAATTTCTGCTGGTATCAAGTTTGTACATAACATCATCAAATACTGCTTGCTGAAGCCATGGTGGTTCAAGATTGGACCTTAAAGAAAAAAAGCAAATATATTTTACCACTCCATCAAATTTTTTTTTATAATAATTTGAGAAAATTAATCATTGAGAAGCTATGTCTTTTAAAATTAAAGAAAAAAACACACCAAAAATACCAAGAAATATGTTATATTTTTTATAATTAATTAAGGGATTACCTATATCTGCCAACTCGAGTGACTAACTCGAGCCTCTTTAAGACTCTCTAAGGATAGAGCTCATGCTCTTAAAACTTCAGATAAGGGAGGTATCTGACGAGGTACATTTTTTAAAACATGTTAAAGCTAAAATATAGTTGGATATTCTACAATAATTTTCCGGTATTTCAAAAACATTTATTACCATGTTCATACCACTTATATTATACTTGTGTTTTCATTTACTCAATTTGTTAATTGTTTATTAATTTATTATTTAATTAATTTGTTAATAATTAGGTTAAAGTTAATTGAAGTCCAAAGCTACTGATGTTGAACTAACAATAGCCAGTTGTTTGTGTGGCCGTTAAAGGAATTATTTTGATATCAACATGTTATATTCAATAACTCAACTTAATCTTAATAACTACTTGCCTAACACCGCCAATTGTCATCATTGTCAAACTCCCACTTACTTTGATTTACTTATTAACCAACTTTGCTAAAAAAATTTAATAATTATGAAAATGGTTGATAGTAAGCCTATCAAACATTTTTTAATATAAATCTGTGTCAGAATGTTGTAGTTTTAAAAGTATTAAGTTGGATGAATTTATCATATTGACATACAGGACTAGTCTACTCTATAATATATGTGACCAACCACCTATATAGAATTAGACAATTTTACAGAAAAAAAATTGTTAAATGGTGATATATTAGATGAGTTTTGTTAATATACTTTATAAAATATTTATATAAAGAAAAAATACTTAAAATGTAATGTAACACAAATCAACCCAATAGAAAATGAATACAATTGTAACACTAACTGGCTCAAAATACACATAATTGCATACTGTTACTGTCATAATCATAAACTGAGAAAAAATTATCACATTTGTTACTCTTCATAAAAACACTGTGTAAAACAATATGCGTGGAATCTAGTAAAAACTTCTAAAACTCATAACTTTTAAATTATGCACTGCTGCCAAAATAATTTGGGAAACTCAATGGGTTGTTAATATGCATTTATGTCAGAAAAAAATTACACATTTTTTAAGTTTCAAGAGTTATAAATAAAAATATACCTTATTTTTGCAGCTATTTGTATTTCACTCCATGCTCGTGATAAAGTAGAATTATGTAATAAGTTATCATTACATTTAGTAAAACACTGCATAGGTTGATCTTTGGTATTCATTTTATCAGAGGTTTTGCAAATATTATTTGGATAAAGGTAAGAATCTCTTCCACTCTACAATTAAAAAAAAAAATTTAAATAACACAACATTTTTATACAATTTGATAATAAAATAATTACCGCTGAAACACCATGTAAACTTAAACGATGTTCAGGACTCTGAAGATTTTCACCTTTCCATTCATTATCAGTTTCTTCAGAATCATCAAACTGTGACTTCCATTGTGACATAAGAGTTAATCCTATACAAATTAATCTATTAATACCAACACATTCTAAATATTAAACATAAATTTTAATTTTATTTACCACCTCCACCTCTAGTAACTTGTTGCATTGCAGAAATATTGTCATCATCAATGACTGCAAATTGTGTATATGTTACATCTCGAGCTGTCGTAGATGATGATTTTAAAGCTTGTCTATTACTAGATGCTTGACGTCTAGCAAAATGTAAACTTCGTTGTTCCTTTTTTACTTGATTCATATTATTGTCTGCTTCTACTATTGGAGAAGTAGCAGTAATCACTTAAATTGTACAAAAAAAATTAATTAAAATAAAAAAAAAACCCAGCACAGGGGGGTTGCAGCACAGTGGTGACGTGGCATAGTTGGATCAAGTATAATGATATCTGACAGTGATTAAAATCACTATAAAAAAAAAAAACACTTTAATGCAAATCTTTAGATAGTGTTTAATTTTAAAAAACCATACACTTTTCAATAAGTTATAGCATTATAAAGTTAAAAATGTAAAAAATAAAATCAAGAATTTTCACACAAAAATAGCATTTGGTAGCCATTTTCACCACGAAGACAAGTCCAGAGGTCAAATTTTTTTTTTCATAATAAAGTATATTACATTATCTTTAATTTAAGATATATATAAAAGTGTCAGACTTTCCGAAACATAGTTCTCAGCTTTGTATCGAAGCTAAAAATGTTTTTTCGAAAATACACTATTGTAATTTTCTTTTACCTTTATTTGTTTCTTGAGTAGTCATAGCTGAAGTAGATGTGACTAAGTTACTTCGAACTTCTGAATTAATTACAGGTTCCACATTAAGAGGTAGACCAGAATCAGTTGTACAATTAGTTTGTGATGAATTACGTTTAGTAGTATCTAACAATTCAGATTCTCTTTCTAGACCAGGCATTGAAACGGCCCTACGTTGAACAGCTTTTTTTGGTGAGCCTTAAATATTATAAGTTAGAGAAATTAATGCATAAATAATTCATTATTTAAAAATGTCTAATTACTTTTTGGAACATGTAAATGGTTTAATGGTGGACCTGAGTGTGCATTAGAATTTTTATCAATAGGTACAACTTTATGAGAGCCTGAATTACCATCTTCATGTTTTTGGACACGTCTGTATACTACATTACTATCACACAATGCTTGTTCCTAAATTTGATAGAAAAACAACAATATATGATTTAAAAAGTATTTTACAAAAAAAAAAAAAACAGTAATTTTATTACTTTTTTATTATCTGGTTCTTCATTTTCATTATCTGCCACTGAAGAAACAGGAAGCTGATTATTAATTTCACCACCATAAGTTGTACAAGTAATTGGTCTTGATATTACAGCAGGTGTAGTACTATTTGTGTGAACACTAACGGTAACTGCAGGCTGAGATATTTCATTTGGTTTTTCCCAATCAAACGGATCAGATTCTTTAACACCCCTACGCTTCATACAACGTTCAAAAAGACTAGTCAACATTGGATAATCCGGTTTGTCTCCATATTCTAATGACTATAAAATAAATAAATTACCATAAGTTATTGAAATAAAATAGGCGTGGGTAAATAGGCATAGCTTATCTTATGCCTTATTACTGTTATAAAGTTTATTATATTTAAAGCTGGAAGTAAAACATTTTTGTTATTTCCTAATCTATTGTTATTAGACCAGGAAGTAAATATTTATAAACATATTTGAAAATATTCATATTACTAACTATGTTATTAGTTTAAAATAAAAACAAAATGCTTTAGTATATAAGACGAAATGGAATGAATTTCGAAGAAAGTACCTCAGGAGTACTGTAGGTAACCTTTTTTGTGCTGTATGTTTCCATATTGTTTTAATTATATTTTTAATAATAAAGTTTGTGTCATTGTTGAATCTTTTTTTCTTTTTTATTATTATAAGTAAAGGCATAAGGAGTTTCTCTTTTAAAACACAGTTGGGTCTCTAAACGAAACATCCTTGGTAGTACCCAAACGAATAATTTGTGCTGGTAATAGTGAAGTACCCTTAGTCTTATTATTCTTTTGGATTATGGCTGATAGTCGTGGACATACCCCTTAGTAGTGTTATAGGAAAAAAGATTTAGTTGAGTCAGTTAGGACTCAAAGGCTTTACTCACTTATAAAGCTATTGAGGGATACGACATTACCCACACCTAATTTATTATAAAGGATGATTCTTTTAACACTATCCACTCAATTTCTCATAAAATAATAATTTTTTTCTGAATTTCTTTTTTAGTTTTTGTTAGTTACATATATATCTTAATTTATCTATTATAAAATATTGTATATATTTTTTTATGTGTTATAGGGATGTAAACTTAATATTTTTAAATAGCAACATACATATTTAACTAGCCCATAAAATAGAAAATTATGTAAAAAAGAAAATGACTTGTTGATAACAACTTTTGGACTAGTATTTCAGAAGTTTTCAACATTTTTATACCTGAGCAGGAAGAGGACTGAGGAAGGAAAATGTCTAGTGATTAAAATAGCAAGACACTGCCTCACCACCAGTCAATACTTTTAATTTATTAATAACTTCTGAAGTACTGATCCAAAAGTTTTCATCGACCTGTCCTTTACTTAATTAAATAATTTTCTATTTTATAACTTAGGTAAATATATATATTTCAATTTAAATAATTAAAGTTAACACTCCTATAAGACATAAGGAATGAACATAACAATTTTTTTATAACAGATAAATAGAGATACACGTATAACTAACAATAGCAAAAAAAAAAAAAATTCACAACATAATTATTATTTTAAAAGCAATCAAGTGACTAGTATTAAAAAAAAAATACCCTGTATATAAATAAATAATACTGTATTTATAATTACTTGAATGTGCTCTAAAAATTGTTTTAAGTCAGATGGAAGATGTTTAAGTAATGAACGATGATCATAATTTTCTTTCATAACACCAACTTGTTCTTTATCTTTGATTTTACGCCAAGGTAATTGTCCATTTACAAATTCAACCAACATATAAAACAAGGACCAAAGATCATCATGTCTTCCCATTTCCTTAAAATAATCATCAAAAATATATTTTTTTATAAACTTTCTTGGTATAATAATTATTTTATGTAATATAATTCACATTCTACCAAAAAAGTAGTAATAAAGAGATTATATTATACTCACTTTATTTTTGTGGGCATTTAATGATGCATATCTAACTGTGCCCCGAAAACCAGCAGCTGTTCTAGGTGTTCTAACTTCACCATTAGCTGTTGTAAACTGCCTAGCAAGACCATAATCTAGCATAAAAACACAACGACAGGTTTGATGAAGTCTTCCCACAGCAAAATTAGACTATTAAAATTATAATAGTAAATTTTATTGATATGAATTAAAAATACAATAAAAACTGTATAAATATGAATATTACAGGTTTGATATCTCTGTGTAAAAATCCAACTTCATGAATACTTTCAATGGCTTTTAATATTTGTAGTCCTAATCTTAATGTAGTAGATAAAGAGAAGGCACCTCTTGGTTGTGCTCTTCTTAATTCTGCTAGATTTTTTCCTTGTAACTGCATTACAACATAATTAAAACGTTCATTGCGTCCACATCCAATAAAACGGCATACATGTTCTTTTCCTGTAAAAATCAGATGGAATAAGAAATAATTAAAATTTTGAATAATGAAATTTTTGGAGAAAAATTTTTCTTTCAATATTTAATATATTTTATGTACAACTTTTACCTTGTAACTTTTTTAGGACAGCAACTTCCATTTTAAGGACTTGTTTTGGTTGTCTAGCTGATTCAACTTTTAGAGCTATAAGCTCTTTAGTAACAAGATCTTGACCTTCATAAATTTCACCAAATCCACCACCACCAATTTTTCTAGCCTATATTAAAAAATTATTGATTCATTATAATTTTTAATATACTTGAAATTTCAGTGTTACAAAGTATTTTTTTTTTAATTAATCACTATATTAAAACATTCTTTAACAATAATTAAAAATAAAATGTCTATATATTCATATTCTGAACCGCTCTTCACATCCCACAACAATGTAAAAATACTTATATCATTTAAAATAATGGTTCAAAGACAAGTCATTTTCTTATTAATTTCATTATTTAAAAAACTAAAGAAGCCAAGTGTAAGGTAAGTAAGGCAATGTTTAAGAGGTATGGTGAGTTGTATGATAGGCTAAGAACAAAGGTTTATGAAAAAGTAGTCTACAGATTTGGGAAAAGGTAATAGATAAGAGAATAAGAAATGAGACGTCGGTATCTAAAAACTAGTTTGGATTTATGCCTGGTAAGTTAACAATAGAGCCATTATTTTGTGTGAAACAACTAATAGAAAAGTTAAGGCTAAGAATTATCAAAGGCTAGAGGTGTGGACATCAGCTTTTGAAGAAAAAGGATTAAGAATTAGTAGGAGTAGAACAGAGTATATAAAGTACGAGTTTGACAAAGGAGAACACGACAAGAGAATAGAGCAGAGAATGAGTGTAGCAGAGATGAGAGAGGTGGGAGTATAGGTGTAGTGTAACTCATGGATAAGATGAGAGAAAATAGACTTAGATAGTTTAGTCATATTATGAGGAGAGAGGAATCGGAAGCTATAAAAACAATTATTGAAATTAATGCTGAAGGAAGAAGAGGTAGAGGTAGACCAAAAAAGAGATGGAGGGATCTTATTGAGTGCGATATGAATACGGCCGATGTGTACATAGATTATGTGGGAGATTGTGGCAAGTGTAGGATTTAGAAAAGTTTAGGATAAGGGTGGCCGACTCCATGTAGTTGAGAAAAAAATGAGAAAAAAGAAGAGTGGGTAGAACATCAATAACTTTTGAAAAGAAAGCATTATACTTTATTTCATACTTTTGAAAATAATGAGCGAAAGTAGATCGTTTTATAATGTAATCTTTGATCTTTTAATTATCATCATTTATTATTTAAATATATGATTGTTATTTATATTAATACTAAGTTTAAAATTTAAGCACAATATTTTTTTTGTGTCATTTAAAGAAACAATTATAAAAAAACTGATGAGTTTTTACACTAAACTAAAAACATATACTTATTTTGTTATAATTGTAGACAAATTATTTAAATAAATTGTTTTATGGTAATGGCTTAACCAGACATTTTATTTTAAGAAAAAATAATCACTTTTTTTACAAATAGTAGGTATTTAATTAAATTCTCTCAAAGTTAATTTTTATGCAGGTTAAGAAAAGATAAACAAATAAAATTAAAGTTTAAAATTAGTTTAGTACAATTTAAGACTATCAACTATTTTTATTTTATAGATTATAACAATTAATTTTTAATTTTCTTCAAATTTTTTAAGGACTGCATACCCTCAGTCACTAATGCGTACATATTAAATGTCTGTTTGTATTACAAAAAGTATCGATTTGTTCAAAAATCTTAGCATAATATTAACCCTACTGTTATTGCTGCAGAGCCTTGGGAATAACATGGGGGTTTAAATCAAGAGTTATGTACTGGTTGTACACTTCAGTGATTAAACCTATGGATACTGTACGGTGCCAAAGTCTGGTGGACCAGAACAGCACTCGTTACAGCTAGGAAAGAACTTAGTCGCATACAGAGAATGGCTGCCATAGCCGTCACTGGAGCATTAAGAACTACACCAATGGTCGCATTAGAGACACTAATCGGATAGCCTTCTCTGCATCTAGAGGTTAAAGCTCACGCCAAAGCCACAGCACTAAAATTCCACAATTTAGGTACTTGGACTTTGGAAAGCTTCACAGCAGAACACAGTAAAATAATAAAAGAGATAGACCAGAGGTTTTTGGAATACTTCTTGGACTATATCAAACCCGTTCTTAAGAATAACATTCCCTACAAAGTGGAAATCACTACACGCAGTGAATGGAATATTAAACAACTGACTGAAAAAGGAGGATTTGTAAGATATACAGATGGATCCAAAAAATCAGGAAAGGTAGGTGCTGGCATTCGGGGTCTAAAGACACAAATAAATATCAGCATGTCATTGGGCACAACACCCTCTGTTTTCCAAGCAGAGGTGATGGCGATACTGGTAGGGGCTCAGAACCTGCTGTTATAAAGAATAGGAAGATAACTATCTTAAGTGACAATCAAGCGGCTTTGAAAGCACTCTGTAATGACCAGGTGAATTCAAAGCTTGTCCTTAAATGCAGGGAAACATTAGAATCACTATTGAGGTTTAACATAGTTATACTAGCGTGGGTACCAGGACACTAAGGTGTCACTGGAAATGAAAATGCTGATTTTTTAGCCAGGAAAGAAGCAGAGAACACCTATGTTGGACCAGAACCAGTGGTAGGACTCACTGAGCAATCGCTTAAAGCGCTACCCAAGAATTGTTGCAGAGAACAACACAGGTAAATCTGGAAGTACTTGGTAGTACCTAGACAATCTAAAATGTTAATCAAGAACCCCAGTCTACTGCTGGGTGATCTTAATACCATGACTAGACATCAAATAAGCACTTTGACTGGTCTATTGACAGGACATGGTCACTTGCTTAAACATCTTTACGCAATGAGGGTAATGGAATCACCATTGTGCAGGAAGTATGGAGTAAAAGAGGAAGACTCATTTCACATTATGTGCGAATGTGAAGCCTTGACCACACTAAGATCAAACTACTTGAGTAAACCTTTTCTTGAAAGAGAAGATATAAAAAATCTAAGACCCAGAGAGATACTTAATTTCGCCGGAAAGACAGAACTCTTTGGTCATCCACAAGGGTAACTTGATGGTCCACTCTTATACAATGATAAATATAATATAATAATACTTCGGTGATAACACTTAGGTGGGCAAAACCGAATCAAGACAATTCAGTATGAGGTGCGCAAAACAAACCAATAAGTCTGAGTGCATGGGCATTATGTCTACCTCGATAAAAACTAAAACTAAACCCTACTGTTAAAAAGTTAGATGAAAGTGAATTTAGTTTATGTTAATATTTAAAATTGATGTCTTTTTTTTTTTTTTTTTTTTTTGTGTTTGTTACCACATTTTCTCAGCTCTCGTCGAACCGATTTCTTTCAACGATACGTCAAAAGATCACAAATCGTATCTAGCCGAAGACATTACCCTCAAAAATTGAAAAAATTACCCTCGTTCCCCATAAATGGTGGAAACCTCCAAAAAAATTACAAATTAAAAATTTTTTTCAATTTTTTTCACTTAAAACTGCCATAACTTTTTCAATAATGATTAATTAATAATTAATAAAATTGAAATACTAAAAAATCGAATTGACTGCAAATGTAGTTGTAAAACATGCCACCTAGCTATTCATTGCAAAAATGTAAAAAGTTCAAGACTCTTATCTTACAATTAATTATCGAGTTTTTTTTAAATAAACTTTACAATTTTAGATTAAAAAATATTAAAAATATATTTTTAATATTTTAAAATGGTAATTGCATCCAAAATAATGAATTAAAAGTTATTATCGACTAGTCATTTACTTAATTAACTAATTTAAGCTTTGACCTAAGTTAATACCTTTGAAGCTGAAAAGATATAAATTTTTCTGTTTTTTTTTGTCTATTATCACTTTTGCTTAGCTCTTACTGTACCATATTATTTCTATGATATATGAAAAGATAAAAATTGTATCTAGGTGGAAAAATTAATCTCAAAAATTGAAAACATTTCCCTCGTTCTTTGAAGTGTCAAAAAATTACTCTTTATAAAATCAGTAAATTTTGACATTTTTTAAACTTTTTTTTTGTAAAATTTTCATAGCTTTTTTAAAAATGGAAGAATTAAAACAAATTTTCAAAATAAAAACTTTTTCAAGAAAAATATATCATTTAACTTTTAAAACTTAACTTTTGAAAAATTTTCGGAAATACTCCAAGCTTCACACATATGATGAATTAAAGCTTATGTTACATACAGTATATTTCATACATCAGTTTGAAATAAACCCACCCATAAAACCTGCATATCCCTCCATGTTTTTAAAATACTTGTAACTCAATAAGTTACAAGTATTTTTCCTAAATTTGTCATTGATCTTTGTAAAAAATTTCAATTTTAATTTCTTTGTACGAATAGAGTTAAAATTCTTATTTAATAAACTNATATATAAAAAAAAAAGATAAATTTTTTTTTTTAAATATTATAATCAAATGATTTGTGATAATTTAATAACCCTTTATATGTTTAAAAAAATTAAGATGGTATCCTAATAATATGGATCCTGGGATTGACATAAAAAAGATTTAACCGTTTGAAATTCGAGAAATAAATACTACTTAAATGACAAAAAAAAAATTCTCAAAATTATTATTATTTAGAAGAAATTTAGAAGTTAATGATAAATCAATCACCCTACATACAAGGTGAGTAATGAAACATTTTAATACATACATAGTAGTTAATGGAATGCATGCGGAGTATACATATACCAGAACTAGCTAATTAATTTATCTTATTAAATAATAAACACTATGTTTTAAAAATATATTAAAAACGCTTTAATTATTTAAAAAAATTGTTTAACAAAATAACTATATTGATAGTTATTGGATTTATTAAAACTTTGTAACTCATTCTGTATATCATTTAAATAACTTAAAGTTATCAATGAAGTACTCTAAAACAAAATGTTTATCTATTTTTCACGGTTGAGTTTGATAATTTTTGTTATTAAACTATTATTAACAAAAATTTAACTTTTTAACAATTTGCAAATTTATTAGAATTTCTTGACAATTTTAAAATTGCTAGACATTTACAAGTTTTAAAAGTTTATTATACTTGTGGTAATTGTGTTAGCCTACCCTTCCTTAATAATCTTAAGTATGTATACATTTTTTCATTACTTTTTAACATACATACACTTACATTTTATTGTTAATAATTATTTTAAATAATATTAATAGAATATATTTAAGAACCAATGCAACAAAATTATTTAATAATTTATTTAGTAACAGAAATGTTAGAAATGCACAATAAAAACTATAAACATAAATATAAATAGATGTTATAAATGCGAAACCAATTATTTACTTACCACCTTCCACCGTTCTTTAACTATGTGACCTGGTTGTAACAAATCTTCGGAAGACATTGTAAATTATTTTATGTTGTATTTTAACTGTTCTTTACTTATCAAATTTAAATTGTAACTGTAAATACAAATACAAAAAAAAATTAAAAAAACATTAAGATAAACATATAATATTACAGTGTACTATATTTAAATTAAATAGCAGCATTTATTGATAGATTTTTTAACTTTAATAAACTCATGAAAATAAAGAACACAATTTTTTTATTTTAATGTGTGAGTCAATATATTGGTTCCAAATAGTTCTATTATTGGTTGTAAGTTTAAAAAAAGATTTTACATAGAATAATTAAAAATATAATATTTAATAGGATATTAAAAAACTTTTTGTTATAATATTACAAAAAGTATTCTACTTACAGAAACTAAATTTAAACTTAGTTAGTTTCCAGAAAAAAAGTTTCTGGAGCCATCAACACCTTTAATATATAATTGCAAAATTATAGAATTGTCAATTACATTTATAAAAACAGATTTTTATAATATAAAACTGGAATTCGTGATTATAATTCAAAAATTATTTTTATTGCTCATTAGTATAATGTCTTTAAGATATTTTGTTTTTAAATCTTGTTATTTAAGAAAATGACCTATTGAAACTTTTAATTTTCCAGGAAATTGTATAAAATTCTCATGCATAAATTTGCTAAATTTTATAAAAAAACAAATTCAATTATCTTCACATGTATACTTTTTTTTTTAATCACAATACAATAGATAAAAATTATAACAAGTTTTACAAAATCTTCTTCAACTTAAAATTCACACATTTTAAAAATAGTTATAGTATTATTTTACTTTGGCTCATACACTTATATCAAATATACATTTTTTGTATTATCTTTAGAATAATTGGATGACATTCAATTTACAAGATAAAACACATAAATATACTACATAAGCTCAGATATTATATAGAAATAATTATATTATTGATTTACCTACAGGAAAAAGTTAAATATTTATTGCACAATTTTCTAATGATATTCCTGAAAAATTTTAAATAGATTTAAAACAAAAATCTTATATAAAAATATGCTGTTCTATCATTCTAAAGACAAAATATTAATATATAATACTAGGAGGAACAAATTACAGAAAATTCATAAAACTTTTAATTTATTTAACATTAATTTTTTTTTTTAAATCTTGAATTATAAAATCCTTATATTTTTTTAATATTTGTCTTATTATTTTTATATTATTAGATAAATGAAACCAATTATTATTAATACTTGTTTTTAAATTCCAGATAGCAATTATTATTAATAATTCTGATGGAACAACAATAATTATCTATAAAGTACTCTATGAGTTACAGCTCATATTAGTACATATAAAGGGTACACAGAAAAAAAAAGATAAATTAATTTTTTGTAATCTGATAAAATTAAATTTTTTATTTAAAACACTGTTATTATACAGTACGCCATAAATATAAAATAATTTACTTTTTACGCTAGTTTAGTGGCTAAAAAAATATATTATGACATTTATACAATATTTTGTCACTAAAATTTCAATTTTTAATAAAATTCACTTGCCTTGTTATTTCCAAGTATATTACATTTCATATAATTGTAATATTTATTCTCATATTTAGATTTTATAATGTCCACAAGTTTAAATTTCTTTAATTTTATTTGGTTTTTCAGACTTGTGTATTTACATAGTATGTTTCTAAAAAGTTTGGTATATAATTATTTATTGCTATATATATTAAAATTTGTTTTAAAAAAATTATTAAACCTATAGTTTAAGTCAAATACTATTTATTTGTTTAGATATACTTCTATTGTTAATAATGTAATTTGAAATGTCTCAAATTATAATATAATTATATATATATATATATTCTCTAAACACAAGCACCCAACAAAAGAACTATGCTACTGAGAATAAGGGACTTGGAATAAATTTCAAACAAATACATTACTTATTACATAAAAGTTTATAAATTCCAGAAAGGTTAGTTTAAAAACTTATTTTTTTTGTTATAAAAGAATATTAAAATCTTTTAATAAACAAAACAATAAGTAAAGAAACTGTTCAGTAACATAACCTCAAAATTAATATATATATTTTAATAGTTAATAGTTATTTGACTATGATCTAAAGTAAATATCTAGACTATTTTTTAATTCTGCTATAAATGCTTTGAGATTAAAAGTGGGATGACATAATTTGTGTGGAATCTTATGTAATGGTCTTTGACAAGTTCATTAACAGTAGGTATTTTTAAGTCACTGTGAAGAACACTATTTATTATGAATCAGAGACCTGTTATAGTTCTTAAGGTTATTGGTTGGAAAGCCTGAATAGAATGTATATTTGCTGTTTTAACAGGGATCAAATATTTGTATTTCATAGTACCACACTATTCTAATTATTATTTTATATGTAAGTTTTATTTTTTAGACTTGTATTGAATTCTAATTTTTTTTTTTTTTATTATGTTTCAAAACGTATAAAATAATACCTTATTAAAAATACTCTCATCTATTAATAATAAGCACTAAATCAAGATAACCTGTTTAGAGATTCCTCCAGATTAAACAGAATCAAGACAACTGTATGATTTGGATTCCAATTAATAATAAATACATGATCATTTTGAACAATCACCGTTATTATTAATTTTAATGAAATTGATAAATTTTAATTAAAATTAGAAATAAAATTATAATTATAATTCACATTATCCTTACAATCTGAAATATATTTTTAATACGGATTAAGTTAGTTAATCTGAATGAAGCAGAATAAATCCAAAATTTGGACTACTGAGTTTACACAATTTTTGCTCACTACTACTCTAGATAATTAAAAAAAAAACGCCACCATACAAGAGTAGATAGTAAAAAAATTTATACTGGTTTCCAATTTGTAAAAAAACTAAAATATATTGCCTTTATAAAGTTAAGAGGAAAAAAAATTTTTTATATAAAAAATGTGGATTTACATACACTCCACTAGCAAAATTTTTAATAACCAAATTAGTCTGCTACTAAATTTAGGTAAAATAGTTATAAGATAAGTATTTCAAATGTCTTATGATATGTGTAAATATTTTAACATATAAAAAATTATTTTAAATAATTTTATTGTAGCTTGATCATTAATTAGGAAAAACGCTTATAACAAAATAACTTGTAGACAATGCAAAATATTATTTTTCATGCTTGTTTATTTTAGAAAAATTTATTAAAAGTAATCAAAGAAATAAATATAAGTTATAAAAACTTATATTGTAAATTGTTTTCATATTATAATTAAAAAAATTATTAATATTTTTAATAATTAAAAAAAAAATTGTAACAATCACAGTATTGTTACAATACAAATATGAATTTTAAAAATTAAAAACTTTTAAAATATACTAATACTACTTCAATAACTTGCCTCATATAAATATAAACAGTTTAAAATGTGTTAAGGAGTGTTTATTTAACTTAAGAAAGTTTTCTTTAATGTACGTAAGGAAATTTTAATCACAATATATATTCAGGGGATTTAAAAAGAGTCACGGTAAATAAGTTAATACATAATAAATAATAAATTGTAAGTATAATCAAATAATTAATTAAAAATATGCACTTTTTCATTGACGGTTTTGAATAATATTTCATTTTTTAATACTTAACACACAATTTATTGTTTATGATTAAGTAGTTTAAATACTCGATAATTCAATGTGTTTAAATTCATTTATATAGGTCATTATACATTTTAATGACCAAATAACTCAACAAGTAAAAAATTTCATAAGAAAAAGTTCAAAAGTTAATACTTACATAAAAATGTTTAATAAACACAATATTCATTGCGATTGGCATAATTTAACAGTCTCCTATCGATGAAAAGTCAAGATTAAACACTAAAGCTCCCATTAAATCATTTATGATACGATATTTTCAAGAAGAGTAGTTAACATATTTCATTAATTAAAAAAAATCGATATACAACCCAACAGTATGAGTAAAAAATTATAAGTGCGAACGGCAATTATTATTGATCGATCGTTCAACGGATATCGGCTAACGGTGTCGGGTTGCACTTTCGTCACCGCCGTTAAGACGTAACCGTATTTTGACTAGACAGCTGCAGGTAGTGAACTGACTTGAATATGCGTGTGTGCGTGTGTGTAAGTACGAGTATATACAATAGTTGGTAGTTAAAAATTGCGTTGGTCGGTCAGTCGACTGGAGTGTGTGACGCGTTCATTGATTATGTAGAATTTCCTCGGTTAAACATGGGTTATCACAAGAGAAAAAACAAAAATAATACTTTATACATATAGATAATGCAAAATCAGCTGTTGCCCTAATTTTACAGAGGATAATATGAGAAGGAAACGAATGAGTGAGGAAGAGAAGAAGCCGGCTGACAAAAGCGTGGGCGCATGCTGGTAGCACGACCGGCAGTGTTCTACTCCTGTTACGTGTAGAGCAAATGCGATTCGGCGAAATGGTTCCGTTAGTGCAAAACCCGCCCTGAATAATAGGTCGACATTTTTAGGTTAGGTTTATTTTACGCACGTAACTTTTTCGACTAAATAGACATTTAATGTTTAAGCTTACGCTCCCGTTAATATTTCCTTATTTTTAGACAACACTTCAAAAAATAATCGTTTTACCTAAACTAAAATGAATTGACACGTGATTTATACAGTTTATGTACAATTTTAGTGATAATTTGTCAAAATGTATTATTATAATTAGGGCCGGACTAAGTCCAATATGGGTCCCAGGGATATTTTACAATATAGGTCCTTCCTCTACAGGGGTCGGATTTTATGGGAATACGGGAGTGGAGCAGCTTACTATATAATTTGATGAATATGAATATGAATATGAATGGTTTCATATTTCATTTATTTATTTTTGTTATGTTCTTCGAACATCATTATTTATAATTTTTCCTAAACTAAAAGAGTTCATTTACCTACTCCAGAATTCAGAACTAAAGGGAATGAATTAGTAAGTAGAACAATCTTTGTAGTTTTTGGCTCTACGCCTGATCATCCATATATTTTGAAAATTTATTACTTTTATGAGTAAATCAATTAAAATTATTATTTATTAATTTTGTTAATTAATATAATGAATAAAAACTTGTTAAACATTTAACATAAATTAAATATTAAATATAATTTCATAGAAAATATTAATATTTTAGCCAAAAATAATGTAAGTGAGTAAAAAGTTAAAAATAAAATCTTATGAAATATAAATTTTGTTAGATAGATGCCCAAAAATTACACACACATAGTTATTTTTTATTAAGAAAATATATACACATAGTTGTATCTACAAAAGGGAGTTTATAAAGAAAATTACACAATAATTTAGATAAATCGAAATTCACTAGTAAGATACCTTTTATGGTTCTTAAGACATACAAACCTAAGATAACAGCGTGCTAACTAAAAAAAATACATGTTATACATCTTCAGAAGATTCTTTTGTTTTGTATATTTTTAAAAGTAATACAAAAATGTAATTTTCGATCATTAATTATAATAATTATATTATGTTACCATAACACACTCATATTTTATATTTTGTTTAAAAAAAAACATTTTATATAATTTTATTCAATTGAAAAATTATTGTTTTCTTTGTACAAGGGTTTCTAAATTAATTGACATCTAGGTGATGCCCGGAAATTGTGCCAAGTCTGAGCTTCACTTTAATGAGTATTATTGAAGTCTAATTATGACAATGTAGTAATAATTTCGGCGTATTTTATCTATTTAGTCCGTGTACGTTGATATGCTTAGTGATATAATTTGTCGTAAAGAGTATATAATTTAAATATAAAGAAAAAAATATTATTTATTTATTATAATGTATAGAATCAATGCATTAGTATAAGTATTAAATATTTTATTTATCCGTGTCTATCTTTAAAATAATGAATACATAAAGACATCTTTATGTATTCATGGATACTTAACCATATTCAAGAATTTATATTTGAGTTTTTAAGCAGACAAAATGTATTATTTACTGCCTAATGAGTAAAATCTATACAGAAATCTTAAATCTACTTCTGTTAGCATAATTGTTTAACTATTAAATTTATGTATGCGTGCTAATTATAATAGTGCGCTGTTATTTCATTAACGTAATAAATAATTTCAACCATCGTAAACAACTTACGAGACGAAAATAATTTTATTAATATGTAAATAAAATCTGTTCAATTGAATGTAAATATTTTCTTTTAATAATAAAATAAAAATAACAACGAACTACTGTTTTCGACGACTTGTAGATTTTATTGTAAAGACTGCCGGACAGCAAACGACTCTAAATTTAACTTGGTTAAATAAAATTAGAAAATACTTGTCACATAAAATGTAACTGTAGTTCCCCTGATTGCCATACTCTTATGAGTAAGCTTCCTATATGACAAATCTAATGAACTATGAGCAAGTTTTCATAATTATCTTTTATTTTCCCAAAAAAATTTCTATCAGTACATTTCAGTAACTAGCTACAGCCAATTTCTTTACTTTTTAATTATTATTTAGCTTATATTTATCAACGTAAAACATTTAAGAATTACGATATAAATATCGTATAAATTTACGACTCAAATTCGTTATGAACGAACATTTTCTATTGTTTAAAAGGGTCGTCCGTTCGATATTTCATACGTTCCAAACATGTTTATGAACAACGTTCGCCATATAAACCTATGCAGAATGTTCAGTAAGTAAGGAAACAGGTAAATTGATACAAATAATGAGAACAATAGAAATCCATTTCCTTATTTACTGAACACTCTATAAAATCTGAACGTATATGTTCAAAAATTACAAATTTAAAAATCGCTAATTTTCAAAATTTTTTCAATTTTTTTTACTAAAATGTGCCGTAACTTTTTCAAAAATGAACATATCAATATAATTTTTTTTTTATAGATGCTTGATGTCTTTACCTATCATTTGATATATTTTTTTTGTAAATTTGACCCTTTATCTGCCCACAGGGGGGATTTAAAATGACAACTTTTTCAATTTAACTTTTAAAAATGTTTCGGAAGGTCTGACACTTTTATATATACCTTAAATTAAAGCTAATGTAATACACTTTAATTTGAAAAAAAAAATTTGACCTTTGGACTTGTCTTCATGGTGAAAATGGCTATTGAATGCTATTTTTGTGTGAAAATTCTCGATTTTATAATTTACATTTTTTACTTTAAAGTGCTATAACTTTTTAAAAAATGATGGATCAACACAATTTTTTTATGAGAATATTTTTTAATAATCCCTTTTTCATTTGACATACTTTATCTTAATCAGGATATTAATAAGGAAATAGCAGATCATGTAGCTTTTGGAATAATTCACCAATTTTTTAAAATTAAACACTATCTAATGATTTACATCGAAGCGTTTTTTTTGATAGTGATTTTTGTTGTAATAATAGTATTAACGTGACAAAAATTATGTTATCATCTTATTACTCATATTATTGTGTATTTAAAGAAAATATTGTAAACTTTGATCACAATTAAATTATATGTCAATAAAAATATCTGGAAACACTAATGATGTTGATCCCTAATTGAATTAAAAGAAAAGTATAAAAGACGGGTTAACGTGGCATAAAAAACTCACTTGCACTTAGAATCTCTGAATGTCAGTTAGTTCATCAACATCATCAGTGTGAAAAGACACATTTTAAGTTTAAGGTTAAGACACAGTTTTTGGTAAAACTGAATCTATATAGAGCAGATTTCGTTTTACCAAAAGTACTTATTTACTTTATTATTTATATTAAAATTTTATGTTCAGCATTTTTGCTTACCTTTGAATAAGTATTCTTTTTTTTCTTTTTTAAAATGTGTCTTTTCACACTGATGATGTTGATGAACTAACTGACATTCAGAGATTCTAAGTGCAAGTGAGTTTTTTATGCCACGTTAACCCGTCTTTTATACTTTTCTTTTAATTCAATTAGGGATCAACATCATTAGTGTTTCCAGATATTTTTATTGACATATAATTTAATTGTGATCAAAGTTTACAATATTTTCTTTAAATACACAATAATATGAGTAATAAGATGATAACATAATTTTTGTCATGTTAATACTATTATTACAACATTTTAAACACCGTCATATATCATTATACTTGATCCAACTATACCACGACACCACTGTGCCGCGACCCCCTGTGCTGGGTTTTTTTTTTTATATGATTAACTGTTTGTTTTTTTAAATAGTGTGGTAAACTGGGCGTTTTAAGTCCAATTTGACCACGCGAATAAGTGTTGTTAGGAAGAGTCAAAATAATAACTAATTATAATATAACATTCACTGATTAAACACTGACCACCCAGAGGATGGTGAAGTCCCCGTTTATATTTACATTGTTCATTAAATAATCATTGAAATATTAATACCATAATACTTTTTAGTGTTACAATTTAAGTATTTGACAGTAAAATTCTACTTTCTAGTAATTATAATGTTACACATAAATTCCTTATAGCTAAAATTTACAAAATAATCATGGGTTCACGACAATGGTTTAAAAACTTGAATTCAAAATAGAAATTCATTACTAATTTTGTGTTTTTAATATCGATGCAACAATAATCTGTTTCAATTTTTAATTATTTTTATGGTAGTTATCAAGACAATTTTTGTATACTAGTCGTTCAACAATATTTGACAGTAAACTTGTATGAAATATAATAATGTGCGCTTATAATAGTCATCAAATACTTTTATATATAAAACAATAGAAATTTGGTTTGAAAACTTTAACAAGCTGAAACGGACAAACGATTGATGATCGCATAAAAAAGTTGAAAGAATAAAATTGTTAGTATTTTTTTTTCAATCGTATTTTTTCAGCATAAATATTTTACCCGTTAATAATTTAATTTTTAATTGTTCTTGGGCTTAGTCCTTAAAACATTTGGCAGTAATAATTGCTTCTGGTTAAAGCCGTAAAGACAGGTGGTAATAAATAACAATACTCAGTAGACTTATTAGATATATAAATATTTCAAATGAGTATCAAACAAACAATGATCAAATAAATAGTTACCATTATTATTTTAATAAACATTTAAATATGTATAAAAATGAATGGTGACGACACTGTAAATTGTAGAAACTAAATTACTAGACCACTAGATCATACCAGAACACTACTTTCAGCCATATCTAGAGAAAGGTTTTTGGCCACGTTTTGGAAAAAATCCTGTATCCCACCCATGTTCTATACAAAATATAATTTTAAATTAAAAAATTAATAATTTAAAAGCCTATTCAAAAATTACTTGACTAGAACAATTTTATCAAAGTAAAATCAGGGATTCTCATTTAATAAAATTAATGTTAAGATTTTTTATCCCCAAAGGAATGAAAAATAAAATAATTTAACTACATATTATTATATAGTATTTTGAATCAAACAAAATTTTCCTTTATAAAAATTAAATATTTTCAATAGTTTCCGAGAAAATGAGTGTTTATCGGCTATGTCTCACGTAATATCTTAAAAAATACAACTATTATAAAAATTTTTTTTTATCTTATTCATATGAATCTTTGAAGAAGTGTTTCACAAAAATTTCACGATATGACGTAATCAATGAGAATTGTTTGATTTTTAATAGTTAACAAGTTGTTACAAACTTATACAAACAATATATGACTATATTAGAACGTCAATTGTCAACAACGACCTGTCACATGGTTGCGTACACCGTTTGAAAAGTGTATGTTTAATTGAAAAGTTATGTATTTACATTATTAGAAATTACTGCGTTGACACTTAATAAGTTTTATATAAATTAATTCATAAGATGCTTATATATTTATTTGTATACTTTTCAATAAAACAATTCATTATGAAATGTTAAGTGCATTCGATTAGAAGGACATATTTTATTTCTCATTATATTTATGGTAAGCATTTATTTATAGTTTATTTAAAAGACAAAATATGAATAATAACGAATTAATGAATTAATTAATTTGATATTCAAGAATTTGATGTACATAATAATGTGCATTAAACCAGTGTTTGATTTGGGACAAAATAAAATAGAAGTGCTATGTTAAGTCATAAAAAAAGGAGTTCTTGATTAAATTGTAGTTTATCAGAAAGAACCTCATCGAATCACATTATTTTTTTTAGAGTTTTAGCTTCGATGCGAAGCTGAGAAGGTATTGGTTTTACTAAGATGTGTTTTTTTTTTGTGTCTGTTACCACTTTTTCTCAGCTCTTATCGAACCGATTTCTTTCAATGATATGTCAAAAGATCACAAATCGTATCTAGTCGAAGACATTACCCTCAAAAATTGAAAAAAAATTCCCTCGTTCCCCGTAAATGGGGGAAACCTCCAAAAAAATTACAAATTTAAAAATCGCTAAATTTCGAATTTTTTTTTACTAAAAAATGCCGTAACTTTTTTAAAAATGGAAATATCAATATCATTTTATATTATAGATACATAATGTTCTTACCTATCATTTGGTATATTTTTTTTATAAATCTGACCCTTTACCTGCCCACAGGGGGGGATTTAAAATGACAAATTTTTTACAAAAAATTAATTTGTTCAACTTAACTTTTGAAAGTGTTCCGGAAAGTCTGACACTTTTATATATATCTTAAATTAAAGCTAATGTAATATACTTTATCATGAAAAAAAAAAATTTCGGACTTTATCTTATCTTCACGGTGAAAATGGCTACCGAATGCTATTTTTGTGTGAACTACAGCATATTGCAATACTTAAAACTGGTCGCGCTTATGGATTTACTACCTATAACGTTCGACTCTGTTATGATTTTTTCTTATTAAACTCTAAACTTTAGAGAGCCGTAGAACGCTTAACATTAAATAAAATAATATATTTTTTTTTACAAAACATTATTTGTTTATTAAACTAAATCTAATGGTTAAAAATAAAAATAGAGTTGCCATATAAAAATATGTAGTTGATACAAGTTTTAAGCATAAGGGATGGTGCTAAAAATTTTAATTTTCTTGTGAAACACCTCATCAAAGATCCATAATGAAAAAAAAAAATTGTATTTTTTAAGATGTTACGTAAGACATAGTTAGCTGATCACTCTGTATATATATAATTTTTTGTTGAGTTTAATGATTATCAAATATTCTATAAGAAAATGTAAAAAAGAGATAAAAAGAAAATTTTTCTTCATGACTAGTCTAATGAACAGTAAATTTATTCAGGTTCTGCAACGAAATTTAGCTAATCAGTTTTTCTTGTTATCAGTGCAAAAAAAATGATAAGCAATATTATTTCAAAATGATTATTAGTTAATATTAATTTATAGTCAAAATTATAAATTTTTAGAAAGCTAAACATTAGTATTAATGTGTTCTATAAGCAATTTGTTATACTACATAATTAATAATTTTATATAAAGATAAACAGCATTTCATATGTTGACTAAACTGAAGTAAATGAATTGTAATTATGTATTAATATTACTTTGAGTTTTTCATATGGCTGTTGTTTAAATGTAACTACAATGGAAGACTTAAAATCTATGTAATTATTTGTATATTAATTTATTTTACAAAATCATTTAATTTTTTATTTACCGATAAAATTATCGATCTTACAGAATAAACATTATAGAAATACTAAATGAAATAACTCATTTTCTTTTAGCTAATAGTTAATTTTTTATTTTGAATTTTTTGACTGCCAAATCTTGTTCTAAAATTTAATACTATAGTGACAAGATTTGTATACTCAGTATGATACTGTTTCTTGACAATTACTTACTGATTTATATTAATCTATTAATATTAGTTTGTAGATTTAATCATAGTGACAAATACAAATTATAATTTGTTTTGTAATCATTTGTTCATAACGGTTTTCAAATGAAAAAGTAAATTTTAGTCAAAAATAACCTATGTATTAAAAGCAATATACACTTGTTCTTACACTATAAAGAATGAAACAGTTTAAACTGACAACTCGTATTAATTTTGATCTAATAATTATTTCACAATAACTTTTTTTAATAATTTAAAATTAAAAAAATATTAATTTTTTTATTGTTAAAAACATAATTTTAACATAGTTTATAAATGAATAAATTATTATTATTAAAAAAAAAAATTACATTAAAATGTTCATTGTATCTAATGTTAAAAGATTTGTGAATTAGGTCTGTTTCATACTGTATGTTGTGTATTTGATAAATACACGATTACAAAATATAATAAATCTTTTTATAGTATTATATTTTTTTGAAATGGGTAAAATTTTAAGAGTGCTTTATCTCACTTTTTGAAATTTATAAACTTGAATATTGCGGTAAATGGAACAATTTAAAAAAATATAATATTACGTTGGTTGGTTCATACAGAATATTAATATTCTGCAATAGAATTCTATTGCACTTTTATGTTAAATTTAAAAAGTTTGTTAGGCCTGTTTCATGGCATTATAGTTATAAGTAAAACTATTTTAGTAAACTATAAAATACATAAATATTTTTAATTAAAATAAATTTTTAGAGCTGAAAAAGATATAGAAACAATATTAAAATCAAGTGAAATGGATTCAAGTGTAGATATTGACAAAATTTTAGCAGACAAAGCTAAAAAAAATCGATTAACAAAAAAGAATGTTAAAAATCTTATTAAAGTAAGTATATTTAATAAGGATTTAATAAAATAAACATTTAAATTCATATTTTAGAAGATACAAAAAACTAATTGTAATAAGTATTAAATTTCTCTTTAACGTAATATATCTGTTTTTTAATTCACTTTAGAAAATTTGTATAGTTTTATATCCTTTGCTACTCAAACTTTGGATAAGCAGGCATCAATATAAAAATACATATTATTTAGTAAAATATTCTTTGCTTTTTTTGATTCTCTTATAACTATATTTCTATTTTCTTTTATCTTTATCACTTCGATTTTTATATTTTCTTCAATCTTCTATAATTTTATTAGTTGTAATGATATACCAGAACATTTTTCTCATTTTAGCTTCGATGTGAAGCTGAGAAGGTATTGGTTTTTTCTATGATTTTTTTTTTTTTGTGTCTGTTACCACTTTTTCTCAGCTTTCCCCGAACCGATTTCTTTCAACGTTACGTCAAAATATTACAAAAATCGTATCGACTCGAAGACATTACCCTCAAAAATTGAAAAATTTTCCCTCGTTACTCGTAAATGGGGGAAATCTCCAAAAAAATTATAAATTTAAAAATCGGGAAATTTTGTCATTTTTTTCACTATTTTTCTTAAAACTTCCATTACTTTTTAAAAAATGCCCCGACGCCCCTGTGATAGGTTAGGTTTTTTGTGGAAAAGTTGTCATTTTAAATCCCCCATTGTGGGAAGATAAAGGGTCAGATTTATAAAAAAAATATACCAAATGATAGGTAAAGACATCAAGCATCTATGAAAAAAAAATTATATTGATCCATACATTTTTCAAAAAGTTATAGCATTATAAAGTTAAAAATATAAAAAAGAATTTTTTTACAAAAATCGTATTTTAGCTTCGATGCAAAGCTGAGAATCTCATTATTTTTTTGTATGTGTATTTACTTTAGATTATCTTTTATTTATTTGATTTAGTTATATTTGATTTCTTCATTTTTATGTTTGTCTACACATTATCTTTTCTATTTTGATTGGTTTTATTTTTAAGTCTTAATGTGGTTTCTATTATATAAAGGTTGTGGTCACTATGTTGGGATAACTTCTTTGCTTAACTTAGTTTATTATATAGTCAATTTATTATTTAGGCCCATCTGGCATAATTCAAATTTACTTTCTTTGTTATGGCTGTAAAAACAATGTGACTGTGATTAAGTTTTTGTAAATCTTCATTAACATTTTTACTCAAAGGTTTCTCCTCCCCAATCCATAAGCATCTGTATTGCATGACTATTTAGGCCTAAAATCTTGCATTTTAGAAGTATCTTTTTCCTAACAGATAGATATTTTCGTTAATCACACCCAACTGTTCACAAAATTATTTAATAAAAATATAAAGAAAGAATTTAAACAAAATAGAAATAACTAATTATCATTCTAGATCTATCAAATTATATTTTAAGTAAAAATATTTATTTTTTAATCAATTTTAGAATGTTTTAACGAATGATGATGTTGCTACAATGTTACGACAAACATTAGATGATGAGGGAAATGATGCAAATTGTTTGTATGAACCTAAGTTAACTAGAGCAAAAATAAGGTTAGTTTTCTAAAATTTAACTATTGCTTTCAACAATTTTACTATAAATTCTTAAAAAAATTATAAGTAATCTTCAAAGCATAAAGAAAACTATTTAGGATGACTTAGAGTAATTTTATACAAAATTTGTTTGGTAATTGCAATAATATTTTTAATTTTCCTTTAATAGAATTTTTACTTAAATTATATTGTAATACGCATTTTAAAGACACAAAAAAATTTAATTATTATTTTGTTAAAAAAATAGTTTAAAATTAATTAATTAATTAATTTTATTTTAATTTAAATTCGGAGTAAATATGGGATTACTATAAAATTATAGGATTTTTAATTAAAATCCCAATTGTGCTACCGTGTGTTTGTGTCATATTGGGATAAGTATAGAAGATATCTGACAGTGATTAAAATCACAATCAAAACATTTTGATGAAAATCTGGTGATAGTGTTTAATTTTTATAATTATTTCAAAAGCAACATCAACTCCTAGTTCCTTAATTATATCCTGATATAATGAATATATATGGTATATATATATACTTATTTGATCAATTAAATTTAGTATGAAATTGATATTCCATAATTTAATATTGTAATTTTAAGGAAAAAATATATCTTGATGCAACATTTTTCAAAAAAAAATTGTTTATTACTATATATTGTTTATAAAATATACTTTTGTCAATCCTTTGTGGTTGACCCCAAGTAGTTGGGATAAAGGCAAGGAAAAAGAGATACTCATTTTTGTAATCATTTCAAATCTCTAATTTGATTATTTTGATCACCTTTAATTTGTTATATTATTACTAATTAGTAAAAATAATGAGTTTTTACATATCAAAAATAAAAAAAAAAAAAAAATTGTTTTCAATTTACTATTCATTTTAATTTTTAACGTGTTAAAAAAATCCGCTCAAAATGTCATTATAGATTATTTTTTTGGTCCTTTAAAATTGATTTTTATGAAAGTTTATAATACAACTTTTATAGTAAAAAAAAAGGTTGAACTTCTTATCATAACCTTTTTTTAGATCAACTTGTAAGTTTGAAATTGATATTATTAAATAGAAAATTTAAAGAGGTATTAGGTGAAACCAATATTCATTTTTTTTAGAATTGATGTATACAGTAACATTTGATCAAAAAATATGAAATTTTATAGAGTGATAGTAGCACACACAAATAGAGTTAAAATATAACAAAGTAAAATTATTTAATTATTTTTGTAGTTGAAACCTATGATTTTACATGGTGATCAGTTTATCATAAACCACTTGATTACACGCAATATAAAGAAAATATTAAAAAAATGAAGTTTGATTTCTTTTAATTCTCGATTTATTTTGAGATATTTATATTTAAAAAAAAATTAAATAAAAAATCTTGAAGGTAGTTTTTTGAATATTTGTGCGTTATATTTTTAACTAGGTATAATTTGGAATCTTTTGATGTATTATACAGAAATATTGGTCCAATAAGAACTAATATTAAATCGTAATTCATTAGCGACTGTAAGCGTTTTCATTAAAGACGTTGTGACTTCAAAAGCTCACCGCAAAACCGCGATAGCTTACGCGAATAATTTCTACGGTGTCCAGGTAGAGCTTTCAAATAAAAGAAATTTATCGAAATCTGAGCATGCCAAGTACCTTCAATGAAAAACACGGATTTGCCGTAACTTTCTTAGATCAGTAAGGAAATTTTTATACATCTCGATATTATCGATAGACAAAATTGATGATTGCAAAATCAAATAATGTTTTACTGTGGCATATAAATAAGTATTTCTATTTTTCGGAGAATTGAAAATGCCGCTATAATGGGTCATTAAGATAACGCCACGGTCACAAAAGACAACTCTCTGCTTGTGGTACGATTTTTGTCCACTCGACTAAAAAGTGCAGTTTTTTATATTTATTCTTCATTTTTATGTTTGACTTATAATTGATCATATCCTGTTAGATTTCATTTTAGAGTTTTGAAATTTCGGGAAGGCGAAGAATGTAACATTCTGAAATGTATGTAATGGGCTTTTTAAGATATCACTATTCATAAATAAACTGTTTAAGTTAAAAAAAAACTTGTATCTTTACAAAAATGTTACGGCTAAAATTTAAATCTTAAGAAAAAAAGCCCATTACAAACATTTCAAAATATTGTTTTTTAAATATCCTCAAAATTTCAAATTTGTACGATCACTTTAGACCGTGTAATAAAGATTATACTTTTATAGTTTTTAAGCCTAAAACTACCGTGGTGTAGCGTTCTCTTAATCACTGTCAGATATCATTATACTTGACCCAAATAAGCTCTATCCCTACTGTGGCGCGACCCTACTATGCTTGGTTTTTTTTACAAGTGATAAAAATATAAAATTTAAATGAAAAAAAAAAAATTTCATATTGAATTTTTTTTGTGAGAAATGTGTACCCAACCATTTTTTCATAACTATGAAAAACGTACAATATTCAAAGGAAATTTATTTTTAAAACTATTTTTTTAAGAGATAAGGTTAAAGTAAACATTTATAAATATTAAATAAAAAAATAAAATATTAAGGGTCCTCTTTAACTCTTTTTTTTAATATGCCAATGCAATTTACACTAATTTCTTATAAATACTTTTAAATAAGTTTTTGTACAACAATTTATTAAAAAATTTTTAATTTTCCAATTTTTCACCATAATTGAACTTCTTTCTTTAACTTAAATGTCTGTTATCATCACACAGACTTGTCCAGAAGTCAATTTTTTTTTTTTAAATTTTAAGAATTTAAAAAAGTTAATTTTTTTAATTTACTATATTAATACCCCCCTATGGGCAGGTAAAGGTTCAGATTTAAAAAAATATATATATCAAATGATTGGTAAATACCTAAGTTATTTATTAAACAAAAATTATTAATCCATACAGTTTTCAAAAAGTTGAAAAAATTGTAATTTTTTCGGGAATTTGCCTTATTTATGGGAAAACAAGGGAAATTTTTTCGATTTTTGAGTGTAATTTCTTTGATTAAAATACAATTCGTGATATTTTGAAGTATCGTTGAATGAAATTGATTTGGTGTGAGTTGAAAAAAGTGGAACACAATTATACATAAAAAAATAAGCATCATAATTAAAATGATTACTTTCTGCTTCATTTCATAGCTCAAATTTGTTTATAACTTAAAAACAACATTTTTTTTTTAGAAAAATATTGACTTGCACCCAATTTTTAATTTGTACAAAAAATTTTACTTTTCAAAATAATTTTATGGAAATTAAATACACTAATGACGTGTAAATGATACATTCATGTGGGGGGCGAACAAAGTACACTACACAATGACTAAGTTGTAGTTGGCGTTGAGCTGTTTATTACCAGTTATTTTTTAAATAAAGCCGAAAGTGACAATAATTAAAATAATAAAAGAAATAATGAACAGATTTATATGTGTTTAATTATCCCACGTAAATGATGATGAGAGAAAAGGCTGTAGTGTAGATGAAGGACAGACATATGGTGGTGTCACGAAGATGACTAACTAAACGCATTATTGCGGCAGGTATTTAACGCTAGGAATTTGTTGGACTTTACACCGTGACTGTGTATTTACTGTGGTTTACAGTAGTGCAGAGGCTGAGAAGGAGCTGGCACGATCATGGCTTGTCACTAAGATTAATTTTATGTTAAAGATAATTGAATAAAAAATTAGAAATATTTTGACACCAATATCATTTTTGCAAAGATTGTTGCTTACACTCTTTTATGTATTTAGGCTTGATATTAATTCTAAATTTCTAATTGGTATTTAAAATTTTTTGTTTTAATGTAATAGAGAAATGTTAAAATCATACCCTCCATCTGTTCATCAATGGTCTCCATTTCAACAACAATCAATTATATCAGAATGTAGACTTTTAATTGAACAAGAATTTCCTGATGATTCTGAAGATGAAGAGTACAAACCTGATAAAATTTTAGAAGAAGATGATGATGAAGAAGATGACGATGAATCTAAATGTACAGAAGTAAATAAATCATTTGATGTAGAAAGTGACATTGGAAATGATAGCTATGAAAATTCTTTGATTAGTAACAAAGTAAATGTTTTTAAATAAATTCATGCATAAAGTATTTAACTATTCTAATATAATTTTTTACTTAGGAAACAATTGGTATGCGTACTAGGTCAAAATTTTCATTAAGTGATACTCCACTAGAAATTATTGAACAAGCATTTATTCCACCTGACATAACAGAAGATATGTATGATTTTACTTGTGAAAATGATGAATGGATGCAGTTTTTGAGTGAATTCACTAAACCTTTAGGTTTGTTCATATAACATGATAAGTTCTTACAATTTTGTTAATTTGATACACTATTTGAAAAAAAAAATTAATAGTGTAACATCATAAATCGAAGGTGGACCGTTTATAATTTTTTCTGTTATGTCTACTTATTTATTGTATTGCGTAAAATAATGTGTGCATAAACCTTTTTCTGACACAATGGTGTCAATAACTCATTATTTTGCCGCTGATTGCTAGATAAGGCGACAAAAAAGAATAAATATAATTAATATCAAATTTTTTATTGGTATTGATTCCTTCCAAAAAGACTGGCCGTTATCAATTTGAAATTGCCGGTAAATTGATATTGACTCTTTTTCCTCCTTCTGTCATTAATCGTGCTAGAAGGCACACGTTTGTTATTTTCTTGTAGCAATTTTTTCATTGCGGAGTAGAGTCGCCAATGGCGAACGGCCAGGTCTTTTTGGTGAAGCATCCAGATTATATTTTATTAATTGTTTATTTCATTTTTATTTTATTATAAATTAATTTAATTTTAATTATGTGTGGAGAGCATGAGTTTCTTTTCTCTTCTAGCCAACGCTAAGGAGCAAGCGTCCAGACTGCTCCTAGTATTTTTCATTCATTTCCGACTAACATTAACGGATGTGTTCCAATAACGTACGTGATGTTTGTAATATTATTTGATTTTATTTTTGTTGTCAGCCTTTCTTTGTAGACATGAATACGAATGTATCAAAACCGATACATTCATATTTTTGTCCGTGTATAACTTAATTTTTATTTTTTTAACAATTAAATTAAATTTCCTTATTAATTTTAACTGTAATATTTATCTTCTTGTTTGAGTAACTTAAGTACTCACATGTATTTTTATCCCTGTTTCTTAATTCAGACACAGGCTACTGTATGTTTTACATATCAACCGCTTACAACTATAATTATCATAGTTGTGGTTCATAAACCATAAGGTGTTATAATCATGTATACATATAACGACACATTAACTTAAATTAAACTTTTAATTAACTTAAAATTAAATCATACTTATGGTCCGCTAATCATATCTGATATGTATGACACCTCGCCTAAGTGGTGGAGACTCTTGCTACTATAGACACTGAAGACTGAAGACACTTGCATAACGTCGTTAATGTATCGTTAATGCCAAACAACAATGGCAATGTAAAAAGTCGTAAAACCATGAAGCCGGCAAAATATGAGCAGCTTGACAACGTTATGTATCAGTGGTTTAATCAACGAATTATTTTGTTTAATATTTTTTAGAATGATATTCTTTATGTTATTGCATATTATATATTATTAGTATTTTTTAATTATGTATTTCTGTTAACCGTCTATTCGATTAACCGTCATTGTCCTGGTCCCGACATTGACGGTTAATCGAGTTTCTACTGTACTTAATTATGTATATGGGTGTTCTCATGGAGGAGATAAAGAATCCAGACAATGAAAATAACTATCGCTCTGTGCAACAAATACAAAAATGTGCAGTAACTCCAAAAAATCCATTTTGAGATTATGAGGTATTTGAATTTAGGTTTTACTCTTCTTATAATAATTTTCATCAAAATATTCGTAATTTGGAATGAATCGGAATTAAACTACTAAGAAAATTGATTAACATTAACATATAGCATATAATCAAAGAGTAATTTTTATTTTTGATATTGAAAAGTGAGTAAAAGTGCTTTATTTGCTGCGCATATTGATATATTGTAAAGATATATTTTAGTGTGATTAGTAAAAAAATGACTTATAAGTTTCCCTCTCAAGACAAAACTTTGAGAACGCCATTGATTATATATATTTGTTTTAAATTATACATTTTTTCTTATGAAAAATTAAAGTTCTCTTATAATATATATTTTTTTAGATTCTGCTCAAAATGAAGACACTGAAGATGATCCAGAGTACAATGTTCTATGTGATGATGATTTTACCAGCAGTAAGAAATTAATAAAAGTTGAAAAGAAAATTATATTTGTATTTAAATTATGAAATATTTGTTATAGTTGATAAAGAGGAATTTAGAATTGATAAATCAGTAAAAATTACTCGTAAAGAGTATAATGATTTAATGAATGAACTATATGAATTTACTGAGAGTTATATTGACTACAATGATGCTTCATCAAACAAAGCAATCACAAAAAATGATTGTGAAAAAGTAAGTTTGTTTTACTTAAAAACATAATGATATGCTATTTTATAATTTAAATTTTTAACTATAGGATTTAAATAAATCAAAAAACTTAGTATTACCAGTTACCGTGTCTACACCTAATAATACAGATTTGAAGTGGGAGATGACTTGTTCAATTCCTAACAATTTTCAATTTATTGAGCCAATTATTTTTAATGAAATTACTCAACTAAATGAAAGAAAAATCACAAAACCAGCTAAAAAAAATTCCTACAATCTTTCAGTTATTACTTTACCTAGTCCTCAAATAAGTAATATACAATCAATCAATACAATTGACAATATGAATCAAGTAAAAAATAAAAATTGTAACATGAGTTCTGCTAATCATTGTAAATTATTTGGTATTTTACCTAAACAAATTATTGTTTTGAAACATCAACTTGCTCAGCATGTACAGTTAATAACCCAACAGTATGCCCTATGTACATTAGAAAAATCATTTACAAAGCATCTTCGTGTATTTAGCAAAATGATAGTAAGAAACTGACATTTATTTAAATGTTATTAAAATATTTGTTATCACACATTTTATCTTACAGAATACTTTAAAGGATATAACTAAAGGAAAATGTTATACACCAAATAATATGTATAGTTCTATTAGATTTATTAATGACTGGAGAACTATGATAAAAGATGATAATGAATTGAAAAAGTAATTTTTATTTTTAAATATTTATCAAGAAAGATTGGATGTAAAGTTAATTTGTTCTTATTTTTAATTATGTAATTAAAATTTTTTTATTATATACTGTAAATTATTGTTTAATTTTAGCTATAGCAGTCGAGGAATAATACCATTTGAAATGATGCGTTTCATGTTGTTCTATTATGAACCATTATTTATCTTTCCTGAGCTATTGCCTTCAAAATTATTCAGCATTAAACGTAATCAGCTGTCTATCACTCCATCAGAAGAAATGTATGAATCATTTATTTATTTACTAATATCTAAATGAAGATATAGAAATAATAACAAAAAAAAAAAAATACTAAATATGTCAAATATTCTAATTTTTTGTTTTTAGGTTTTTATTAATGAAAATTGATTATATGTATAAACAACTGAAAGAAGATGTTCGCTATCGAGCTAAATTTAGACATAAAGAACTACAAGATATGTTACCACTTATTCTCAAAACTGTACAAAAAAGATGGTTTTCACATAGAAGGCTTACAGATTTGAAAATACATATCACACGTTACAAAAATACTCTTACCGAAAATAGAATCAATGTATTGTTTTATATATTATATAAACTATAGAAAGGCTTGATAAGGAAGAGATTAGTTAACTATTATTAACCTTTGTTGTAATTTTATAATTGCATATGGCTAATCTTTTATAAGCTGCATAAATACTGTAGTTACTTTCTAAGTTATTAAAAAAAAATTAAGTTGACCACATTCTTCTTCTTTGTTAAACCTCTTTTTGAAAATTAAAAGCATTGGGATAGATTGCTTAGTATATTGACAGTTTCAATTTAGAATGTAGAACCTAAAATTAAAATCATGCTAAAACCACAAAAAAGAAATTTACTAAATACATTAATCATAAAAAATATAAAAAACTAAATTGTTTTGATATATATATTATGATATATCAATAAAATTATAATATATAACTTTATATATATAATTTTTTTTGGAGCTAATATGAAAAAATACTAATTTATAATTTGGAGTCTATGAACAAAAATTAATTAACGAATGGACAGTACCTGGGGCCAAAATAAGAAAAAGAGTGGAACTGCCAAAACTATGTTTTTCTCTCAATCTATAATGTCCCCAAGAACATTATATTTTAATATTTTATTAATGATTTCTAATAAGTTTTACTATTTAGACTGTCCATAATACTTTATGAATTTCACTTTTTAGTGTATTTCTACAATTTTTTTTATTTTTAAGTTACTATTTAATTTTATATTGATAAATAATTTTTTTTTAATTTAAATTAAATTTTAATATAATGACAGATATTAAGTATTAATATTATTATTTTTAGTTTAGGGTATATTTTTAAACATTAGAAATTGCATTTGATTACTTTTATTCTACTTACTTTATATGGATTAGTTACTTATGTAATAAATTATTTTTTAAATTAGGTTTATTTAAAAACTGGCCAAATTGAAAAGGTTGTTCACTATGTCAACATGGAAGCTCTTAATTCTACAAAATGTTTATTTGAACTTGATATTAAAATATTTCCATCCATCTGGAAACCTACTTTAAAGCAATTGACAAGTATTAAATAAAAATCACTATTTACCATTGTTTTTAAAATATTTTTAGATTCATGTCAAAATAATTAGGCTTTGTTTTACATTTTTACTTATATAAATTTAATTTAAAGGAAACTGTAAATAATTTGTGTTTTATAAAGAAATGTTTTCTTGATATATACTATTTATGCATATACAAATATATTTAATTATTTTGTTTTTATCTTTTTTTTGTGTGTGTATGGATTCACAATTTTTTATGTATTATATATAATATAAATCTTTTTGGGTAAAATGGCAGATAAGATGGAAGTATAGAATAACATCCCTAAAAAAGTTTTTTCTCTACATATATTTATAACAAATAATCACCTTCCAAAATCATTTCTGAAACTACTCTTGGTGGGTGTTCAAAGAGTATAAAAACTTACAGATTGGCTGGAGACTATTCTACCAATGCTCACTCAATTAAAAATTTAATAGAGATTGGATATTGAAAATATTGAAGTATTTTTTATTGAATAATTATATTAATTAATGGAATTTTTTTGCAGTCTTGTTTTAGAAGAATATATAAAACTTTAAGTAGAATCTTAGTTGTCAATAATCCATTAGAACATCTACTACACATAAAGATCTAATATAACTAAATTTTGTTCCCCTTTTAGTGGTCTGTTAAAACCCATAGCGTCGTCATCAAATGAGTAGGGTTTCATCAATCAGTACAGTGACAAATGGCGGAGAAGGTTGGTGGTTACTAAGCTAGTCTTTTACTCAGAAAACGAAGCTGTTTGTAAACGAGTACCAAACTAAATTTTAAAATTAAAAAATTTCACAATAGATTAATTTTTGTATAATTTGTTATATCTGTTCATACTACGTTTTAAATTATATTATGTAACATGAGCAATACTTTAATATATGTGTTAAACTTCAGATTATATCCGAAACCTTTTTCAAAATTTAAGTTGAAAATAAGATAAACTATCATGCAAACATTTCTATTTTGAATAACCCATGTAGGCAAGTAAAGAGTCAGATTTTCAAAATATTTATAAAAAAGAAAGGGAAATATTTATGATATTTATAAAAATGATTTTTTCAACACAATTATGACAATTTTAAACAAAAAAAAGTTTTGAAAAATGTAGAAAACTACAAATTGAATATTTGTCGGCTGATTTCTCATAATAGAACAATCGTGGTTTTTTAATATTGTAGTAAACTTCAAAAGCTTTAATTTGATATGGGTTAAAGTTCCGAAACATTTTAAAAATTTAATTAAATTTATTTTTACTCATACGGGTGGTCTCTTTCAAATTGGAATTTCTGTCAAAAGTAATGAATTGATACTGATGATCTTTACATATTAAGGTTTCTAAGTACAATATTCTACGCAAGATTTTTTCAAGAGTAGTGTCAATATATATGATTTAATCGTCTTTTATTTGAACGTAATCTAATAAAATGCTATAAATTGCCCTATAATAAACAATTTTTGATGATTATGTAATTAATATTAGTATAAAAAAAAAACGGTAGTACAGTTGGGTCACGGGACAGTAAGGACGGGGCATAGTTGGGACAAGTATAGATGATATCTGACAGTGATTAAAACCATTATCACAAGAAACGCTTCGATGCAAATCTGTAGATAGTGTTTAATTTTAAGAAATTGGTAGATTATTTCAAAAACAACAATAACTCTTATTCCCTTAATTTTATCCCGATTAGTTATTTGATTTATAATTATTATATATGAATAAATAAACATTTTAGTAATTAAATTTAGTATGAAATTGATATTCAATAATTTAATATTGTAATTTTTACGGAGATATTATAAAAATAATAAAGTAGTAGTATATTTCTTTACTTTTAACGCGTACAAAAATTTAAAGAGTTTGACGCAATACTTTTCTATAAAAAATGTGTCGTAATATGCTTAATACTTTGCATTACGCATCTTTGACTTATCAATGAAAAATTTATAATCTGTATTTTATATTACTTGTAAACAAACAAATAACTTATCTGTCATAACATGTACACTGTGCAACACAATTTCTTATTATTTATATACAAAGGCGTAAAGCATTTGAGTAAATGTATTTGAATAAAAGTATTCAGATACTTTCATTGNGTATTTGAATAAAAGTATTCAAATACTTTCATTGGTATTGAATAGTATTTTTAAATACATTTAATAAAAAGTATCTGAGTAGTATTTTAAATACAATTATTTAGTATTTAATACTGTTTAATATTCAGTACTATTAATATACTTTTTTTTTTTTAATTTGCTAACCGTAACACAGCAAGCAAATTAAACTCAGTCAAAATGAAAATTGAGAATAATTCCCTGTTATTTTATATGTTACATTATAGTATAACATAATTATTGTGCTTATCTAAATGCTATTATGTATACATCTATTTTTAATACATCAGTTGAACCTACAATAGCCTATTGCAGGTTCAAATGATTTACTCTATTGTCAATAAGACATACTTTACAGGTTTTTACACGTGTACTAATATTTATTTTTTTCACTGATTAGTCTCCAATAATTAATTTTATTTATCTCTAACAAAAAATATCGAAAATAATAAATGAGTTCTCTTAATTTAAGAGTACTCAATATTTGACTCAAATTACCCTCTTGGCAATTATTTAGGTGGAACCTTTTGCTCTTAGTTAAAATAAAAACATTATTATTATTTTTTAATTGTATTCTTAGTATTTGAAATACTTTTGTAAAGTAATTGAGTATTACTCAAATACTTTTGTATGAAAAATATTCAAATAGTATTTTAAATACATTTTTTTTTAAATATTTGAATGTTATTTAAAATACTTTTTAAAAGTATTTTTTACAACTATGTTTATATATATGTCAATTTATCCATTGTTAAATATGCTATCTCAATATAATAATCATGTAATGTATAATTAAATTACTTAATTTACAGACCTCGTATAATTAAAAACAATAAATTAATTAAGATCACTAAAAGCGATGACAACAATATCCCTGGATTGGGAGTACTATCATTTTATTATAAAAAGCTCTGAAATATTTTCAGACTTTAGGGGGAGAGTGTGACGAGAGTTCGCTTTCGCCGAATTCAAATGATAAAACAATTGTTAGCCACAACCCCGTGTTGTTATTGGCTATTTTTTTTATGCGTCTTGATATTATACATTCGAAAAGAATATGTTTTAATTTTTTATTTTTGTGACGAAGTACGAATCGAACATTTATAAGTGTATATAAACACATCGAAATATTTATCGAATTACCTCACAACAATTTGTAAGAATAAAATAAGTAAGTAAATTTATGTTCCCAATAATTTGGAGTTTGAGTAAAGGATGACAAAGCAATAGATCATTTATTGAATTAATATCTTAAAGTGTTAATTTTGACTAGTTGGTTAAAATATTATACATAATCACGTTATATGGTATTCGCATGGACTGGCTCCGCCGTTCCGTTGCCTTAAAGATGTTTTAAAAAACCTAGCGTGATTTCTACTGTATAAGTTAGGCTCTGGTATTCGTGAACTGGCTTTGCCGTTTCGTTGCCTCTTAGTTAGGACATTAGAAACTAACCAGATAAAAGTTTATTACACCTCAATTAGAGGTACTGCGTTATTATTTTTATATCTATTTGTCTTTGTCGTTCTAAACCCTCGAACCATACGACCTCAAAGAACCACAACATCAGGTTCTCAGCATAAACAGCCCAACCCCAAAATTTCAATATTTTTTTGCATTTTTATCGTAATAGATAACTTAAATAGAAGTAATAGTAATCATTTCCTAGTAACTTTTGGTGTTTAAAAAAATTCTGCAATTGAAATATTCAGAAGTTAATTAATTTTAATAATTTACTTTAAGTAAATGAACCAATCAAAACAAAGTTGTTAAAAAAATTTACTTAATTGAGCGTATTATAAAATTTGATTATAATTGTAAAAATCCATCGTTAAATTCAAGTGAAACTAAAAATCTTTTTTTTTTTTTTAATTTATGATTTATATAGCAACATGTTAACAAAAAATTTGGTATATTATAATCTAATAGTAGCACACACAATTTAGAATAAAGTATTATGAAATTACAAAGTAAAATGATTTAATTTTGAAGTTGAAACCTATCATATCAAACTTGATTCGTCAATTAATACTTTCAAAACATTAGAAATGAATGATTTTAATTATCTGTATGGAGAACATGGGACAAGTAACTGTTTTATTGATAGATTAGAATTTTTTTTCAATTTTTGAGGGCAATATCTTTAACTAGATACGAATTGTAGTCATTTGACGTATCGTTGAAAAAAATAGATCAAGTTAGAGCAGAGAAAATAAATGATAGTCACAAAAATATATCTTCTCAGCTTTGCATCGAAGCTAAAACTTAAAATATAGTAAAATAATTTAAATATGAATAAGAAATTTCTTCTCGCAAAGGGCGACTACAGTGATAGTATCTTTGATCTTTATTGAAGTTATTGAATATAAATGAGATTAAAATCAAAGGAGTTGAAAATTTAAAAATGCAACAAATTCCTTGCCATACACGGGTTAGAACCTTGTAGTCCAAGCGGGTAAAACACAAGTTTTACCGAATCGGCAACCGTACGTCGCTACCGTGGGTTGAAAAAAATGGCGATTTAAGCTAATTCAAATTTCAAAGTTATTTTTCTCGACTTCAAAAAGTAAAAAAATTTAAATAAGTTTAACTTTCTATGCTATATCAATTTTCTATTTATATAATATTTATGATAATCTGTACTCCCCTTGTCAGGTATTCTACAATAAAATAAAATATAAAACTCAGAATTTTAACACAAAAATAGCATATTTTTGAATATGGTAGTCATTTTCACCACGAAGACAAATGCAGAGGTCAAATTTTTTTTTTCAAATTTAAGTATATTACATAAGCTTTAATTTAAGGTATATATAAAAGTGTCAGTCTTTCCGGAACATTTTCAAAAGTTAAGCTGAAAAAGTTAATTTTTTGTAAAAAAGTTACCATTTTGAAACCCTTCCCGTGGGTTGGTAAAGGGTCAAATGTTCAAAAAAATATATAAAATGGTAGGTAAATACCTAAGGTATCTATAAAAAAAAAATTTAATTATTCGGTTATTTTTAAAAATGTTATTGCAATTTTAAGTAAAAAAAATTGAAAAAATGTCGAAAATTACAAATTTTTAAATTTGTAATTTTTTGGGGGGTTTCCCCCGTTACGGAGAACGAGGAAATTTTTTTCAAATTTTGAGGGTAATATATTCGACTAGATACGATTTGTGAACTTTTGACATATTTTTCATCAAAATTGGTCTAGCGAGAGCTGAGATTGAGTGTATACAGACACACACAAAAAAAACACATCATAATAAAATTAATACCTTCTCAGCTTCGCATCGAAGCTAAAATTTGAAAATTGTATAATCGTGTTCTACACTGAAATACTACAATTAACGTATTCTGAATACAATAGTTGGTCTATTATTGAAATAGACTAAATTTTCAATATTAATTTAATTACAATAATTATTTTTTTTTATAAGTATTTTTTGAGAATATTGCGAAGAATACAATGCTTGTTGGATCAATCCTCATTGAGGGAAGGTAAAAACATTTTATTTTACTTTTTTTAATAATTATTTTTTATATGACTTTAACGATTAAATTTTGCAAGTAGAAGACGTGACACCCCATACACTCCTTTTAAGGACAACCCTGTTTGCGCGACCAAAAAAAAATTAATTTTCTTACTCAAATTTTCAGAAAATATTATACTAGTAATTATAAAAAAAATCTAGACAGGTCAATTATTACAAACAATGAGAACAATAAAAACCGTTTTCTTAATGACTGAGCACTATATATGTAGTAATTAAAAAAAATAAATGAGTTGATTCTTAGAAGAGGTAGATAAAGACAAAAAAAAGATTTGGGAAAGATGAAAAAATTTTATTTGGCTTTTTTTTTTAATAAATGAAAAAAAGCTAATTAAAATAAAATTAATAATTTCTTAGTACCGAACTGTAAATAAAAGAAGAAAGAAAAAATTTAAATTATTAAACAATAATCACATGAAATAACAAGACTAAAGGTGTATTAACTAAAACTAAAACTAAACAAAAATCAAATCATATTGTTTGAAATACAAAGTAAATCAATTAAAGCAAATAATATGTTATTTATAGGACAAAAATGTTATTGTAAGCAAATAAATTACTAAAATGAATTTACTATTATTTTTAGCATATTTATAAAACAATTGTTACCTTTTTAATGTTTTGTTAAAAATTCAATAAAATTTGTCAGTAGTTTAGTATACATCAAAATGATCATATTAAGACTTTTTATATGTGTTACTGTTTACACAAAATCTTCAATTTCCTTAGACCCATTAGAGTTGCATTGCAATTTCTCTAGACATTTATTTAATTACTTCAAGTACTGTGAGCAATATTTATTTAACTTTGAAAATACAATCTCTGAACATGAGTTAAAAATGTATGGAAGAGCTGTAAAATCTCATGGCGAAATTGTAATGATCATGTTAGATTCAATACGAGATATGGACGAAGAATATATGGCGGCGGATATTATGACAGTAAATTTATACTTGAACAACGTTTCAGGATCTATAAATATGATTGGTAGAGACAAAAATGGCAAATTTAATAGATCTAAAAACTCACAAAATTTACTTAATGGTTTTAAAATTCTACATCGTTCAATTGTAGAAAGATTGGAATATTTTTTAAATGAAAAGTGTTTAAATGTATTAGTTACAAATAATTTCATATCACTCACTAATTTTAAAAAACCAATAAAATATAGCTCAGAAGTCTTGCTTAATGAACTCGAGAAATTCAATAGTAAAATTATTACAAGTCTGAATGGATATTTAACTATGAGAGACATGTTTGGCGGAAAAGATAATGAAATACTAAATAATTATTGTAATATATTAAAGCATTTAGCAAAAACTTTCGAAAGAAAATCATATTATATTTTTAATCCTAAAAATGTCATGTTTTATGATTTCATGGAAGGTCGTGCACGTTTTTCAGAGTTAAACTATTTAAATGATTCCCAAGTAAAACAATATACTATACATAATAGTAATGAACAGCTAAATGATGTTTTAGACATTGTTCGATATATTCCGTTGAAAATAAAGAGTACTAATAATTATCAAATAAATTTATCCCATATATTTAGTTATATCAAGTTTGATTTTGACATTAAAAATTTACAAATATTTAATAAAATATTAAATACAGCCATAGTTCGTCCAATTTTAATAATTGTATGTTTTTACTTTTCACTGGTTAAAAAATTTGTTTTAATTCCTAATTTTCAAAATGAAAAATTAAAATACGTTTCGAAATATAAAATCATTGAAATGGGTCAACAAATTGTTGAAAATATGAAATGCTTTATGGATTTAAATTTATTTGGAGAAGGATATACAACTAGATTTAAGGATATGTTTAATAAAACGTATGAACTTATTTCATCCTACAAAGATCGTAATTATTTGTTTATAAGTAATGAAGCATTTTTAATATCAAAAATTTTTTATGGATACATAAGAAAAAGTATTATAATTTTTAATAATATTGAATTACGGAAAAAAAAAGTCACAGAAGACAATATATATGAAATATGTGATTTAGCTGCTAAAGAAGTAAATAAAATTGCATCATTTGTTTCAGCATTGAAAAGATATCAGTATTGTTTTGAGATTGCAAATAAATATTTTCATATAGGATATCTAGAAATGAGTTCATTTAAAATTATTTTCAAACAAAATATTCCATTTGGTAAGTTCATAAATACATAACCGGGATTTTATTTCTTTCTGTTTATTAAAATAATGTAAAGAATTTTGGCAATATTTTAATATAAATTAATACACTGTTATTATAGAAATATTACTATAAAGAGAATTATAATTTTTTTATATTCGGTGAACCGCATATATGAACAGCATTTTAATATATGAATGTATCTATGTATAGATTGTCCTTAAAATTTTTTTTTTACTTTTTTTAGTTACAAATATTCAGGGCAATCGGTTTATCATAAATCACTCGAATATTCGCAAAATAAATACAATGTTAGAAAAAAATAATGACATATCAGCTAATAATAAATTTTTAGAATCATAAACTAATCATTAAATTTATTTTTTTTATATGGCCATATACATATTTAACTAGCTTATAAAATAAAAGAATAATTAAATTAAGAAAATGACTGATCGATAACAACTTTTGAACCAGTACTTCGGAAATCATTCTCATTTTTGAACTTAGGCGGGAAATGTTTAGTGATAAAAATAGCATTACCAGTACAATTAATACATAAAAATGTTAAACCTCTGGTATTCTGATGCAAAATATCTTATCGATCATTCCTTTTCTTAATTATATAATTGTAGATTATATAATTTCTTATTCAATAAGCTAGTTAAATATTTATATTGTCATTTAAAAGAATATAGTGGACACCCTTATAAGGTATAAGGGAAGCAACTGAAAATCATTTTATAACAGATAAATAAATATACATATGTAATTAACCAAAGAAATGTTTAATTAAAGAGATAATTTTAATTATTTATTATGTATAGTGAAAATATGTGTTTATATATAAATATTATAATTTGAAATATTATTTTTAGAACAATTAGGAAATCATGAAAACTTATATAGATCAGTATATATTCCTGAAGTTAATACAAGTGATGTAAACAAATATAGTAGTCATAGCTTAAGTAATGAAAATGATGAGATGAATAATAATGAAAATAAAAATTTGAATGTCGAAATTCACACAATTTACACTCCTAAATATCTAATTGATTATTTGCTTTATGAGTAATTTAATAATGAATTTACAAATTGTAATGTGAATAAATCATAATAATTAATAATAAAAAAATTTATATTATTATTTTTTACTCTCTTATTATAATTTTATAATATTATAAGGTTTATCTAAGACTATCCTTCTAGATATAAAAGCTGAGAAAAACAATTTTAAAGTTTTTCATAAATTAAAATATTTTTTTTGTATATGTTATAAACTTTAGTAATTTAATTATTTTTATATTGAATATTTACAGAAGTAAATTGTTGATCTAAATCTTACAGAGTTACATCTTGTTTTTTAAAAAAGTCGGTCAATTTTTCAATAAGAAATGATTTAACACTTTTTGAAAAAAGTCTTGTAACCCAGGACGTCACGACCACTTTCTGCCGGAAGAAAATAATCTCTTGTAATGTTTTTGGCTGAAGTTTAATCTTGAGGTCCATAATGTCGATTCGCGGTTTTAAGTTTTATTTTACCAAATATAAATGAATTTTGCAGGTCATAATTTTCCAAGTCGTAAAATTTTTGAAAAATTCTGTTTTGAGACTCGGGAGAAAGCTAAGTGAAGTACATTTTATAGCAGCATTCATTTAGAGGAGAAAAAAATTTTTGGAGGAATAAGTTTTCCAGTTATACTAACATAATTTTCGTGCCATTCTTTTCCATTTCTTACTCTTATTCTAGTGTTTTCCTTTAATGTATAATCGTCTTGAACAGGGATAATTGTAGTATTTCCAGCGTTTTTTAGACTTTCAACATTCCCTTCCAAGTCTAAACAGTTAAACTCAGAACCATTGCACAATTCCCCAGAATCCTCCAAGACAGCGAGAAGATCCACAATCTCATTATCTAGCAAAAAAAAAATATATTTATTTATGCTAGCGTACTTAAGTATTTATTTATTCACTTATTTGCTACATTTCGTATAAAAGTAGAAAAATAAAAATAAAAAAATCATTAAAAAGGATACAGGTTAGGTTTTTTTTATTTTCATACTTATGTTAAATACAAAAAACGTTATAAACTTAGTTAAATTACATTTATTTTATTACAGAAATAAATATAGTTAAAAAAAACTGAAAAACACGCTTTTAAAGCATATCGAACTAAAAAGTTAAAAATCATTTTTAAAATAAGCTTAAAACAATAATGTACGAAAAATACTAGTATTATTGTGAAAAAAGCGCCTGGCGCTCAATATACTAGAATTATGGCACAAAGCACCCACGCTTTTTCTTACAATAATACTAGTATTTTTCGTTCATTATTGTTTTAAGCTTATTTTAAAAATTATTTTAAACTTTTTAGTTCAATATGCTTTAAAAACGTGTTTTTTAGTTTTATTAAACTATATTTTTTTTAAATAAATAGCTCGATATGTATGATTTTGGTTAAAATATTGTTAAGGACAGGGGCACTGAATATTATAGTGCGTACCCGAACCGGCTAAAAGCACTTAATACCTGTCAAACTGTGTTGTGTAATGCCGTGTAAATATAGTCACTTGTGGTGGGAGGGTTCGCCTGCACTAAACCAGTGATCCATGTTGTAAATAAATGTGTGTTTTTGTTTTTTCTGTTTAGAGAACTCTTAAATTAATTAATGTAGATTAAACTTGACTTCTGTACAATAATCTTTTAATAATTGTACGACTAGAGTGTAAATTTAGCTTATTAAAAATAACAGTAGTACGGGCATATTATTATTATACGTGAGGCATATACGGCGACGGCGCACAGTGGGGCAAATGACATCAAAGGTTATCTTATCGAATTATAATATACACCAATAAAGGAGTTCATACTACATTAGAAATCGGTTTCGTGCACGGGTTGTGGCTTAAATTGATTTAGTTACAGTAGTTATAATATAAGTCCGCAGTGTATTATAGAATAAAATTAAACAGTATAATATTATTTAAAATTTTAGTTTTTTTTCTATACCTTAGAGATTATTTGTTTATTTAATTAAATTTATCATGGAACCATTAGCAACAGATCAGTTACGTAACGTTTTATACATAAGTTTTACGGAGTTATACATAATATATACATAAATAACTAGTATTAATAATAACATATACGTCTCACAAAAATTATATTTAGTTTAAGTTCACTTCCAAGTCTTTCCAAGCTTTAAAAATTGCAAAATATAATACTCAATAGAGTATTCTATCACCTCGATAAAAAAAATGTTGCTCATATTTACCCCATTTCGTATTAATAGCTTCTGGCTGTGACGATGTATAGCAATTTTACGGGAAAAAAATATAAATTGCTTAATTTTTATTTCAGAAGGTGGTTGGGTGGTCTAGTATAACTAATTATTTAAAATATTTTTAGGAAATGTACAGTATTTCCATAAGAGAACCAGGCGTAGATCCAAGGGGGGCCAAGGGGCTATAGCCCACCCCTCCCCCAGGTTAAATGCTTCTATTAGATTTTTATCTTTAAATGGACAGAATAATCGTGGTCGTCCAGTAGTTGCATTTGAAAAGAGTAGTGAACGAAACAAACGGAAAAAAACTCAAGAACTGAGAAATAAGACGCCTGTTAATATGTTAAGTCATGCAACACAGATGAGCTTAAGGGCATCGGAACAAATTGAAGCAGCAAAATTACTGAAGGAAATAAATACATCCACTCCCACACGTGCAAGTAGATATAGAAAAGTATTTATGCAATCACAAGCACCTAAAAAACTATCGGGTGAAGATGCACTAGCTGTTATAGTAGATGCTAAGCTATCTCGACATCAGTACAATATTATTCGGATGAGTGCCCTTGATAAATTTCCATCATACAAAGTCGTACAAGAAAGTAAAAACAATGTTATCCGAAAACAAAAGATATACAAGTAACTTCTACATACGCAGAAGTTTATTTACAAGCATTACTTGATCACATAGTAGAACGATTATTTTTAGTGCAAAAGTCTGTTATTGACTTACTCCCAGAAAATGAATTGGATAAGTTTATTTTATATTCGAAATGGGGCTTTGATGGTAGCTCTGGACATAGTCCATATAAATAGGCTTTTTGTAGTCCTGGAGCCAGTGATTCGGCTGTATTTATTACAAGTTTAGTTCCACTTCGCTTGGTAAATGGTGACCAAATTATATGGCAAAATCCACGTCCTGCATCAACTAGATATTATAGGCCTATAAAAATTGAGTTTATAAAAGAATCTATGGAGACATCTATACCTAAGAAAGAAAAAGTTCAGAGTCAAATAAATAAGTTAATTAATAGTATTGGGACTTTTGATAATAAATCATTTATTGTAACTCACAATTTGATTTTATCAATGGTTGATGGAAAAATATGTAATGCACTAACAGATACGACATCAACACTTAAATGTTTCTTGTGTGGTGCAAAATCGAAAGAGTTTAATTTAATTGATGAAATGGTTAAACGAGAGGTAAAAACTGATAATTTATCTTTTGGGATATCAGTTTTACATGGGTGGATTCGTTTTTTTCGAATGTCTCCTCCATTTGTCTTACAAATTATCACTCAAGAAATGGCAAGCTAGGAAATGTGGAAAAAAATTGTTTCAGAAAACAAACTTAGAATCCAAAAAGAATTCAAAGAAAAATTAGGATTACTTGTAGATAAACCCAAACCAGGATTTGGAAATTTTAATGATGGTAACACAACTAGACGTTTTTTTCAAAATTCAGAAATTTCTGCTGAAATTACAAAATTAGACATAGAATTAATAAAAAAAAATACATATAGTAATGATAGTAGTAGCTAGTAGACACGAAATAAAAACAATGAGTTTTGAGAATACACGTATAAAACTGCAAAATATTTTGTTGAGAAGTATCCGTGGTACAATATGTCATCCACATTGCACAAGTTTTTATTCATGGGCCAGAGATAATTGAATCTGCTTTATTGCCAATAGGACAGTTGACTGAAGAAGTCCAAGAAGCACGAAATAAAGATTTTAAGAGATATCGGGAGCATAACTCAAGGAAATGTTGTCGTGAAATAACTAATTTAGATATATTAAATTTGTTTTTATTAAGTTCAGATCCAGTAATTTCAAGTAAAAGAAAATTGCCCAAGAAAAAAACACAGTTAATGCCAATTGAAGCACTTGCATTACTAAAATCACCAGATGTTCGGGTCTCTCTTCAATATGTCAAAGATAGTGATGATGATGATGATGATGATGATAACGATGAGGATGAGGATAATGATGAGGATGATGATGATGATAACAATGATTACGATGACGATAACTATAACTAATTTTAAAATTAAAACTTAAAATAATACATTTTTCTTTTATTAATAAATTGAATAGATATTTCTGTCAAAATGTCTTTAAAATAAATAAATACCTTATGTTAACATTATGTAAATAACTTTTTATGTTTAATAGACAAAAATAAAAATAATATTAATTTTAGGAATATATTTTTTGCTCTATGATTTAATGCCAACTTTTGAAGCTCGTTGCCCCACTGTGCGGCGGTAGGAATATATAAATGAATATTAACATATACGTATATATATAATCTTGTCTCAAGACCATAGACGACGGGATATGCGATAACATGTAGCGTGTGGAGAGTTACAAACAACAAACACACAACATACATGTGAAACTAAAATATGTGTGTTAAAAAGAACTTACCTTTTAATAACATGGTTCAATCGATGCAATTCTTTGAAATTAAAATTTCAATTGAAAAAATTAAGACGTATACTTTTACACTTATAAATATTAGTTATCCTATAAAAAAATTTACTAATTAAACAGCTGTTAAAAAAAAATCAAGGATGGTCCACTCGAACATTATAGAATTTTTATTATTTATTATCATTATTAAATTTTTTTAAAGCTTGGTCCGAATGGTTTTTTGGCGCTATCTATTAGAATTTTTAAAAAACAATTTATATTGATACACGCATCACTAGATAGCAGTAGATTAGGATGATTGCAATCATTTTCTCAAAAATGAAATAAAATGTAGGATTGTCCGTTCTGGCTCTGAGCGTAGGGTGGTCCTTATTTTTCGAATTTCGAA